AATATCCGCTTGTGGCTGTTGCAACTTGTTGGCGACTGCCACTGACATCTGTTTGCCATTTATTTGTTGTTATATTTTTTTTTTTTACTAACTGAAGACTACACAATATCATGATATTTATTTAATTTTTTATTTTAAATGCATAGCGTTAATATTATATGTAATGTGGTAGGGGTGGGGTCATGGTAAAGGCAAAAAGAGTGCTCAAGAGGTCTTCAACTCAATGAGGTGGGTGGGTGACTGCAATATACTCGTATATGTACATATGTAATATTTGATGCTTTTTTCTAATTATTTGCTTTGCTTTGTGCAGCTGTCTGGGATAAGGAAGATGTATTATGGCTGTTCATTTGGACTTTTTCTCTGTTGTCTACTCTGTTTCTTTGGAGAAGAAAAGATCTTTCGAATTTTCGTGTTCCCCTCACTCTTTTTGCATAATTCCGAATGTGTTTACTAGTGGTATTCTGATTTATGCGCTAAAATTTTTTTTATTATTTTTCTTTTCGCTTCGGCGTGCTTTTCGGTGGGCACAGCAATGAAGTGAAAATGGTCGAAAATCACATAGAATGCAATTTGGCAAAAAAAAAAAAAAATTGGTAATCGATTTTCACAGGCTTGCCATGAGGCAAATTCTTCATCAGCCGAATATTCTGCCATACATTTCGTCCGGATTATTGAGTGGATGCATAAAACCTTCCAACTAAGCTCTCGGAGCTTCTCGCGTCACTAACGATGTGTTTGGTCTGTCATTTTCCTGATGAACACACGTTCCACTGCCGTTGGTCGAAGCTGTGCGCCTCTGAACGATAGCTCCCTTCAGACGGTCCAGTAGCTGACAGGGGAGCAACTCAAAGTGGGTGATGGTTTTCCCGCCCCAACAAACGCACAACGAAACCGTCCTGGCCTCAATCCTTCTCTTCAACGACAATCGCTTTCGCTTGACGTTGCTGTGAGTGATCCACTTTTTACCACCACCCACCATCCGCTTCAGAATTACGTCGATTTTTTAGTGGTTCAGCAGCGTGAGATAACTTCTAATTAACTAATATAGCACCCATACATCCAACTTCTTCAATCGCACTTATGGAACGCAAAATATAGGTCACTAAAGCCATCTTTTGTAAACATAATGAACTACCTTCTACTTGACCTGATATTTGTTCAAACTATTGTTCTTGGCGGCCGCGGTAGCCGAGTAGTTAGCATTGCGTACTGCCATTCGGAAAGCTCGGTCTGAAATCCTGGTATAGTGAACATCCAAAAGTTATCGAAAATTAATTTAAATAAAAAATTAAGTTCAATTTTCTGATTGTGGTCACTCCTTGGCAGCGAATGTCAACCCCTCCGAGTGTATTTCCGACATGAAATAAAGCTCCTCACAAAAAAAACCATCAGCCATTTGGAGGTGGCTTAGTATAAGCTGTAGGTCCCTCCATTTGTTGGAAAAACATCAAAATGCAAACCCTCAAATTGGGGAAGGAGCTCGGCCAAAAAATCGTTTCAGTGATTACAGAGCGACAATTATTTATATATCATATATTCTTCTTTGTATTCTTAGACTTGAACACATGATGCTTACTAAACTAATATTTTCACTTTAATATTATATTTTCTTTGAAAAAAGATACTGGACTTCGTCACTGCTCGAATACTGAATAAACAAGCAGCAATTATTCACTGTACTTACTCCAAAACATCCACACCTCCCCGCCAATGTCATTTGTTAAAACATCCGAAATGTGGAAACGTCAAGGGTTTATTGCCATAACGACCTCTTTATCTTATCGGTGCTCATTTTATATATCTGGATACAATATTCTTATCTTTTATCTCCAGCCACCGCGCATCTACAGTGCCAAATTAAAATTTTTCCAGCAAAACGCCGAGAAATCCAGCTAAATCCAGCTCCTAAAAAGCTGATATGCATGGAACGCTGATGTACATACACGTATACACAGTTCGAAATTGTTAAACTTTTTTTGTGTATCGAAAAAGCTTGCAAAAGCTTTGCGCTTTTGCAGTAAACTTTTATTGTGGAAAGTAACCAAATTTCCCACTCGCGTCACGCAGCGATTCATATACGCTCTTAGAAGAACGTAATTTACTACACATATGAATGTATGCACGGGTAATGCAAATATGCGTGAGAATATTTGTAAATGTATGTGATAGTATACATACTCTTATATCCGTAACTACTCGCAAGTGAGCAGGAAATTGTGCTCATTTTGCAGCATTTCAAGCTTTCTTATCAGCGGTCCAACGTATTGTTACGATTTTACTAAATCAACCTCGATTATTTTCTAAATCCTTCGGGTACGATCTCTGGATTGTTAAATAAAACTCGCCAACTTAATTTGCAGTTTCTTTCGTAATAAAGATTTTATCTAATGTCCTTTATTTACTCCGTAATACACAATTCACTTACAAGGCACTTTACTAGCTATAATCACTTGCATAAACTTTCACCATTTACTCTGCTTAAATGTAATTCCCAACGCGTTCACTTTACGACTTCACTGATGTTAACGCCAACGAGTTTACTTTGTAACTAACTTGACTTGCAGCTGAGTGTCGCCTTTATATAGCAGTCGGCTGCTCGCAGACGAAAGCGTAGAAGCATCGAATTGTTCGCTATGGAAGGTTCTTGTTTTATCGTTTCTAGAACGTACTAGTTATCGGCTTCTCTCTTTCATCTGACATTCGCCTCGCATTTTCGCAACAGTATGATGTATTGCCTACTCCATATAATTGCCAAAATGACAATTACATATAAAAATAACAAATGCTTTAAAAATACATACAAATTCTACAACCGAAAAAGAGTCACAGAAAGTGCAGCAATCGACCTACTTTCTTCAACTGTTTTAGTCATGTCCAACAGTCTTTAATTTTGAACGAATTGGAATTTCCAGATATTTAGCACGTCAATTATTTTGCTTTTGTTTCTCGGCCGCCATAGCCGTGTGGTTAGCAGTGCGTACTGCCATATGAAAGGTGAGGGTACGAGTTGTGGTGCTAACTTTTTCGTCCCTCGGCAGGAAATTTCAAGTCCACCGAGTGTATTTCCGACATGAAATAAAAATCTTTTCAAAAAAATTCAATTCACCAAAAATTGGACGAGGAAGAGGAGGAGTAGCTATTGATACAGGGTGCCATTTTGGATTTTCGGAAATAAACGCAAATAAAATACATTTAAAATTTTTTTTTTTTTTTTTTCATGAAACTCCTTTATTATACATTAAAGCCTGAACCTTGGCAAGCTCAAAGCCGTTTGAGGTAATTTTCGATCACTTTGAGGCACATATGCGGTATCTCAGGCATAACTTGACGAATATCTGCTTTCAAGTGCTTAAGTGCTTAAGATTTTTCCACTTAAAAATGTTCTTTCGCGTAAGCCCCACAAAATAGGCCAACAGTGTCAGATTGTACGATTTCGGTAGCCAATTGACATCGCCTTGACGAGAGATTACGAGAACGGATAATATCTCTCACAAAAGAGCCATATTGTGCAGGAAATACTATCCAAGCCGTGTTCTTCAATTGTAGGCCGAAAAAAAGTCGAATTTACAGTGACATTTAAGGATTCTCGAAGCCTCAAAAGCGACACATTTGCTTATTTGCATATCCCCCGAGTGAGAAATGTGCCTCGTCGCTAGAGAAAACTTTAGAGGGCAAATCATCGTCCCCTGCTTGTTGTACAAGCACCCAATCGTCGTATGTATGGTTTCAGCCGGCTTTACTTGTTGTGTGAGCTGGTGTCTGTATGGCTGTGATGTAAGTAAGAAAGTCCCAGCTCTGGAGCACGTCGGGTCGCCGCCTACACTTTCACTTAAAGTAGCGATATTTTTGAAGTGAAACGAGCAGAACGATGATGCACAGCACATACTCGTACAAGCTCTGTAGCCGTTCCAGTCTATTCAAATTTCTCAAAAATTTTACTTAAGTTCTTGAGCACTTGGACTATTATATGCATCATAACCTCCACTTAAATCCCCAAAAAGCACCGCTCTCCATTGACAGTAACGGTGCCAAATACCAGCTTCATTTCGAAAGAAGTACTGACCGATGGTTCCACCAGACCAAAAACCACACCAAGCTGTCAGTTGAGGTGAATGTAATCGCTGCTCATGAATAATTTGTGGATTTTCTGCGCACCAGAATTGAGAGTTTTGTTTATTTACTGCACCACTCCGATGAAAGTGAGCCTCAGCGGTGCAGATGATTTTCAAAAAAAAAATCTTTATCATTTTCATGTTGTTGTTGTAGTTGTTGTCGTTGTTGTTGTTGTTTGTAAACGTTGTATTGTACAACAGTAGACAGTGCAGAAGGCAGACAGTAGAAGTTAGTGTATTTGCTTGAAGCCAAGTAGTGCAGCATTAAGCAAAAGTTGGGGAATTTTAATTTCTTCCAACAATTATATAACTCTTATGAGTACGTAAATAACCAACAATTAATTCAGCTAACAATTTCTTTGGTGCAAACAATTTGTTTCCTACCCTTCGAATTGAGTGAAAGGCCCGCGCTTTAATCCAATTTAATTTAATTTCTTGCAATCGCTTTAAGTTACTTTTCTTAAGTGCAATCGGACTAAGCCGACAATATAAACAATTGCACAAGCGTACGCACATAAATGGAAATACATATATCTTCCTTGGTGTGACAGTCATAAACTTGACCTTCTCACCCGCTATTTGACTACCTACTACTCACAAGAGCACTGGCGGCAAAAATACACGAGTACACATCTAGAGTTTTAGTTCCCAATTGCACGGACTCACACATGTGTACGTACGTGTATGTATGTGATTTATGTAGATATGTCCGTTAGGTATACCTTTTTTACGCATTAATCCGACTGTTGAACTGCGCATCGCAAATCGAATACCGTCCGAAAACTGAACGCTTACTAATTGGATCAGCGAAAAGAACGTAAGACACTTTACGGACATAATTATAAAAGCCTTAGACTGTTGGTGGATCCTACGCAGAGCAGTGCGACTAATATCAGTGTGAAGACGTTTGCGCTTTTCCAACAGCCCATCTAAAAGCTGCTACGGAGCTATGGCAGCATCGAAATAAGTTTCATAAAAATATTTTTCCCAAAACCAAATTTCCACTTCGAAGGTACATACATACAGCAGTCACGAAAGACAACACAACACAGTGTCGATTAGTTATTTTGGTGTGTTGTTTGTTTTTGTATTATATGTGCGAGTGTGTGCCACTACGAAATATCGACAAAGCGTAAGCACTTGTGAATCATAGCTAAAACCATGGATTACAATAAAGCTCTGCTCGGACAGCCACAACAGGCTGGGTTTCAATATTTGCGCGATGGACGTAACATCAGTCTGGCCGAAAGTGTACCGGCTGATATTTACCATATGGTCGATCCGTATTGGTATAAATGGCAGCCGATGGAGCAAATTTGGTTTCACATAATTGGTTTTATCATCACCATACTGGGTGTGATGTCGCTGTCGGGCAATTTTATTGTCATGTACATATTCACCTCAACACGTTCGCTACGTACGCCATCGAATATTTTTGTGGTGAATTTAGCATTTTCCGATTTCATGATGATGTTCACCATGTTTCCGCCAGTGGTGTTAAATGGTTTCTACGGCACATGGATTATGGGTCCGTTCCTATGCGAATTGTATGGTCTAACCGGTTCGCTATTCGGTTGTGTTTCGATTTGGTCAATGACATTGATCGCTTACGATCGGTATTGTGTGATTGTGAAAGGTTTATCACGCAAACCACTCACCACGACTGTCGCTGTTGTAAGACTGGTCTTCGTATGGTGTATTTGCGGTACGTGGGCTATATTGCCAATGGTCGGCTGGAATCGTTATGTGCCGGAGGGTAATATGACCGCTTGTGGTACAGATTACTTTGCCAAGGACTGGTTCAATCGCTCGTACATCATCGTTTACTCGCTGTGGGTGTATGCAACACCATTGACGACGATTATCTTCTCGTATTATCACATTATGAAGGTAAGCAAATTGTATGAAGGAGTAAACTGTATAATTTATTTATTTTCTAATTCTAATTTTCTACAATTAAATTCAAAAAAAAAACACAAACAGGCCGTTTGGGCGCATGAGAAAGCTATGCGTGATCAGGCGAAGAAAATGAATGTGGCCTCATTGCGTAATAGCGAGGCAGATAAGGGCAAATCTATTGAAATCAAGTTGGCCAAAGTAGCACTGGTCACAATCTCGTTGTGGTTCCTCGCTTGGACACCATACACGATCATCAACTATGCGGGTATATTCGGCTCAATGAATCTCTCACCACTCAGCACAATTTGCGGTTCTGTATTTGCCAAAGCGAACTCCGTATGCAATCCAATTGTTTATGGTCTCAGGTGAGCTTGGCTTACAAATATATCAATGTATCTTAAAATATATTCAAAACTTTGTATGTTTAACTTTTCGCCCACAGTCATCCCAAATACCGACAAGTACTGCGCGAGAAGATTCCATGCTTGGCTTGTGGAAAAGACGACATGGCGTCCGAAGTACGTACACAAGCCACTGCGGAGATTAGCGAATCGGCGGCTTAAGTACGCGACTCAGTTATGGAACCAAAAGTACAATAATCAGCATGTCCGGAATAGGACAATGACGTTGATGACTCATATTTATATTACTTTACTTATACAACACAGGAATCCTAGCGCGGATTCCATGGTAACATAGCCACACAGAGCAAAGTAGAACTGCAACGACAAAAATACGAAAAAAAAAAATAATTAAAAGCAAAAAATATTTGAAAAAAAAAATCGAAAAATAACAAGCAAAGTACAAGTGAAAGAGAGGATAAGATAAGGCGACTGAGATTTGTGTGACAGCTAAAAATCAATATTCTTAGAAAAATAATTCATTTTGAGTACAATGCTTTGGCGTGACCAAATATTCTAACTGTTTTACTATAACTCTATATTTATATGTATTAAAGTTGTCATTCAAAATACTCGTCGCCAACACTTCTCTCTATCGGCTACAAATGTACTCAAGTGATTCCTCTCTCTCTCTCCTCTCTTCAATGTTTTATTTAATTTAACAGCAAATTTAGACCAAACTAGCTAATTATAATTACTGTAATATTTTAAAGTACTGCAACAAAAAAAATTCAAAAAAAAAAAATATAACGAAATGAAAATATAACCGAAGCAATTGATTTAAAATCAAAAAATAGTCTTAAATTTTTAGAAGAAATATCATTTTCAACAATTCCCAGCAAGGCAAATTTTTACACGGTCGCAGCAAGAATACAAAAACAAAAAGCTTGTGTATTTTGTTTGTGTAAACGAGCGTTCGAAATGTCAAAACCTATTTCTCATGTATTTTGTTTCTGTAATTTGTTGAAATGGAAGAACAAGCAATCATATGACATGACAACATCACCTTCTATTCGCCTAGAGATCCAGCCGGCGCTCGAACCCATGACAAATATACTGTTACTTACTTGGCTTAAGGTAGTAGTGCCCGGTAATTTGCATTCCTTTTATTGCTTATGTTTTTTTGGATTTTTTTTTTAAGTAAAAATAAAATTCAATCGGTTAATTTTGTGTTATTAATAATATCTCAGCATGTTGGAATAAGACAAGGAAATGCACGCACCCAACTTCTCCTTCGAATTGACTCCCTTTGGAAAAACAATGTCATTTCTTGCATTATTTTGAGGTAAATTTTGTGTATTTTGTTGCACAACAACATTTGCAACATTTTTCGAATCACCGAATCCGACAAGACTTTCTTTAGCCGTACGAGTAGTTAAATGTCAAAGAGGTGGAATACCTGACTGTTCGTCAATCATCGGTATAATTTCTAGATCAAACATTGAAACTCAGAAAGATTAAACCCCGTAGGGTAGTATCCTCTCCTCAATACTGTTTAACTATTATAACTCAAAACTCCCACCTCCACCGGAGGGGCTTTCACTGATCTCATATGCTGATTATTACTCGATATTGATGAGTTATGCTCGAAAAAGACCTGTTATGCCTATGTTCCTTCCCACTTCTTCACTGTAAGACAATTACGATTACAACCAGAACAATACTCGTTCACCTTCTTCACCAGCCGAACGAAGGAGTACAGGCTCGAACTCGATGTTAAAGCTGACGGCGTACCAATTCCGACTGTAAACAACGCAAAATTACTGGCAGACACATTCGACAAACTGGACACATTCGACAAACTGGATACGACTGCAATTACAACAAAACTCCAAAGCCATAACAAAATTATCAGAGCGTTACCCAGCAGTAACTGAGGTAAAATTTAAAGAAACGTTTTTGGCAATTTACAAGGCCATTGGCTGGCTGGTCGTAAGATATGACAGGAAGCCCTCTGATGTCACCAGAGCATAGCGAATCATCTATGCTACGAGTTTATGAGCATAATGCTTTGCTGTGCAAGCAATTTCTGCTGGGATGCTACCGTAGGGAACAGCCCAACAGACACTTACTGGAACTTGATTCACCACCAGGCATATCAGAAAGGGAGTATTCGACCTTAAGGACTGCATTCAGCAACAACTGCCACAAGCGCTGAACAGGACGGACAGGTCTTAAATGCCATTCGCCGAAAGTTAGTCAACACCTTGCTGATCGTTCTTCCAGTGAATGGCGTCAAGCGAAGTCAAGCCACCATCTATTGCACGCGAAGAGCTCAAGCTCGATGATCAAGAGAGCTCCTAAGCGGGGTTAGAAAACCGCTACAACAACTACCATTACATTAAACCGTATCCTCCAGAACAGTTGAGGATCGATTATGTGCATATACCCATGAACTCACTGTACTCCTACTATTTTATTGCTTAAACACTTGCCAGCACATTTTATGCTTTTTTATAAGCAATTGCTATTTATTCAATATAAAAACAACATTTCAAACAGCAGATATTTTTATGCAGGAAAAATCCATAAACTCAATAAACTCATAAATCAGAAATCGATTGAGGGCAATTCGCGGAAGTACCACAAATCCTTTACACCATCATGTGTTGTAAATTATGTCGGCCATTCATTATTCGATGTCCACTATCGGTGGCGCTGTAGGCTTTGCCATCTCCTCCATATTCCCCTTTACCGTTCTCATCACTTCTCATATCAGCGACCACCACCGGATCGCCAGTGTTAAGATGCTCATCCAAAGTGTACATTGCCGCACGTCCTTGCAGTAGTATGAAATCGATGAGACGCTTATTACTGATCGAGTTCATGGCACCCGGATCGTTTCGTTTGCGTAGGTAATTGAAGCAACAGGTACTTGAAAGAGAGAAGAAGAAGTTTCACAAACTCAGTTACTGCTATAATCTGTGCTTACCGAAAATTCTTAGTGCCGCACGCATTTGTACATTCATTGCCGCAAGAATCACAGGTCATTGAGCGTTTCCTTTCGAATATATCCGTGGGTTCCATACCAAAGAGCGTTTCATCGTCCGTTGGCGTGTTGAAGTATTTTGAATGCAAGGCGCATGGTGTAATGGGGTTGTGCAAAAAGAGCATGATGCTGCCTGTTTCGAAGAAGTAGAAAGGGAACTTATTTAGCATATTTAAAAAAAAAAAAAAACAAAAAAAAAACTTCAAAACAAATCTGGTTAAGGATGATGAAACTCTAACAGACTTAAGCTACTTTCTTGACAAAAAGTATATACAAATTTTTGGACCATATATATATATATATATGAAAATAATCTTACTTACTTTACCGGCGTAGACACCGCTTACGCGATTATAACCGATTTAACAACATTGCGCCATTCGTTTCTTGTCTTTGCTGTTTGGCACCAATTGGAAATACCAAGTACAGCCAAGTCCTTCTCTACCTGCTCTTTCCAAGGGAGTAGAGGTCTTCCTCTGCTTTCATCGGGGGTACTGCATCGGAAACTTTCAAAGCTGGAGTATTCGCATTCATCCAGACCATATGACCTAACCAGCGTAGCCGCTGCTTCTTGATTCGCTGAACTGTATCAATCTCGCCGTATAACTCTTACAGCTCATCGTTCCATCGTCTTCGGTATTCGCCGCTGCCAACGCGCAAAGGGCCATAAATCTTGCGCAAAATCTTTCTCTCGAAAACTCCTAGCGCCGTTGTCATCGTCCATGCTTCCGCATCATATAGTAGGACGGGTATGATAAGCGACTTGTAGAGTTTGGTTTTCGTTCGTCGGGAGAGGACTTTACTTTTTAATTGCCTACTCAGTTCAAAGTGACACCTGTTGGCTAGAGTGATTCTGTGTTGGATTTCCAGACTGACGATATTATTGGTGTTAATGCTGGTTCCTAGATAGAGGAAATTATCTACGACTTAAAATTATACCAGCATCTTTTTCATACTTTTGCCGATTACGGTTTTACCAACATCTGAGCAATCTGTTGTCTTTTTTTAGCTTAGGTTACAAATCAGCACAAATCTAGACCTTTCCGCCTTCTTATCTACTTACTGATCCTTCCCTTTATTAAACTCTTATACGGTTCGTAAAACTAAAATATTTTCCGTCGTCGTGAAGCACTTCGTCGGACCACAATATAGAAAATGGAGTACAAATGGAGCTGTTGAAACAAGTTAGTGATGTGAAAAATAAAACACGTGCAAGTCGCTCGAAGAACAACGGAGAGTGTTGCTGCTGTAGCCCACAGTGCTGAAGAAAACCTTGGTTTGTCCACTTCATGTCATTCCTTACCGTATTTTGCATAAAAGTTTCGGTTTTATAAAATTCAGCTAACTCAACAGCTCCAGCCGGTCGGTCATCAACAATGCCGTGTCTTTGCTGATTGCGGCCTTGAAATGCATGAAATCCATAATTGGAAAATCATTATGAAGTGAAGATGGCTATAAGCAAAACTGTGGCGTCTGGGGCTCAGAAAGCTCAAGATTTATTGTTGAAAAACCCTCGCATCATCAACGTATAATTGTTTGTTTTTGTTGTTGTTTATAGTTGAACGGGGTCACCGAACTTTACCTTTTCGAAAAGTAAGCTCTAGCTACAGTTACGCTGAATGGAATGCATTATCGGCAGATAATCAATGAGTTTTTATGGCTGGATTTGGCTGGTATTGATCTGGACTAAGTTTGCTTTCAAGAACTCTACGGCGCTACGTGCCACACAACCAACGAAACCATTGATCTTTTAATGGAAAAGTCTCGAGACCGTTTTATCCCGCAAAGAGCTGATCGCAATTGGCCGAGTGGATCTTGTGATTTAACACTTTGCGACTTCTTTCTTTCAGACGAGATAATGTCTACGCCAACAGACCAACGCTGATTGAAGTTCTCAAAGATGGAATCCCTGAATTCCTGGGAAATTTCAGAAAAAAGATACGGTCCTGTGTGCATAGCCGGGGCTGCGATTTGATTAATATTTTTTTTCATCATTTATGTCATATCTTACTCTTTACATTAAAATAAAAATCCGAACATTTATTTCGAAGAATGCAATTTTTCTTTGAATATCCAAATTTCATTGAAAAATCCTGTATATGATCCGTTTGATGACCAAATACCGTTTTTTAATTCTCTTTGGCAAGCACGATGCTTGAAGAAAGTAAATCCTTTATCTTGTGGATCATCCATTTTACATTTTTTTTTATATAAAACACAAAGAATTTCTTCGACAACCACAAACAGGAAGGTATGTAAAAACAATTGCCCTTCGATGAGCCCATCTTTACAGTCACCTCGAGACTCTACGAAAAAACCGGGTCCTCAATGAATGTGAGCATGATATTACCATGAGGCTGCAGTAGTCTGCCTCTTTCAAGCAAAACTCTTTGCAGTCATGACAGCCATCGAGTGACTGCTAAAATTTACGGCAGCAGGACTAACAGTTACGATAGGGTCCGATAGTCAAGCTGCCGTTAGATGAGTAAATACAACAAAAGTGGCTATAAAATCCCGGAGAAGAATCTAACCAAACTATCGACTAACTGCAACAACTGCTTGTTCTGGGTAGCCGGACATTGGAACATTCCAGAAATTGTTTGGAAGACGAGGAGTAGGAATCCTTCTATCCACAATAAAACATGTACATGATGTAGGTTTATCTTTGCCAAGGCCAAGGACTGTTGGCTTAAGTGCGTTATTCACTGACACCCTATGTACTCAAGCGAATTAAATGAATTCGCTGCTCTAGTCATTTTACCTTGTCAAATTCGCCTTAATTTGTGGCATTTTTTGAGCTCATAACCGATTCTATAACTGTAACGACGTAGCCTAAGAAAATTTCTCAGCTCTCGCATCTTCAAAGATTAATTTATGTTCATAATTGTTCTAAAAATACAACATTTTTTAACAATTTTCATCACTTACACAATAAGCTGAGATAACAATGCAATAATTTATAACGCATTTCCTCTCTCATCTAACTGTCGGTCCGTAGTTGGAGTACTCATAGATGCATTGGCACAGAGTTAAAGTGTAGTAAATTTGCCTGATCAAAGATTACTTTAGTTGAATATCACAATTTTTACCGCTGCAAACACTACCGTTATCTTCGAAGCCACCAACTGAAAGGACGTTTTCTTAAAATCAACACTCTTATATATTCTCAAAATGGTCAAATGCTCACTAGGACACTACGACTATGAATAGCAGGGAAACATGTAAATGTATGTATTATAGAAAAATGAAGCATAACAGTAAAAAAGGAAAAAAGAATTATATTATTGAGTAAAGACAGAATATGCCTGACAGTTTCCAATTCAAAAACTCAACGAAGCATAGAATTTGTGCATTTAATTAAACCATAGCCAAGATACCGTTAACTCGTTGCAGAATTTCAAAGTACAAAGATTACTCGCATGGAATACATAATCGTTGTTCATGGCATAATATTGCAGTTACCTAGAACGTTTTGCCTAGAACAATGTTCCGCAGACGGTGAGATAACACATACAACTTCACATATAAGTTTTCTTACGCAACAAACGGGTATGTGTGTATAAGATAATGCAAATAAATAGAGCTACAAGTGGGCGGAGAAAAACTTTTAAATTTTCAATATTGCGGAATAAACTTTTCTTGATCTCTGTTTACAGCAGATAACATTTTTTTACGAGATAATCGTTTGGGTGTTCATGTACTTTTGTTGCTGTTTGGCTCCTGTTGGAAATACCAAGTGAAACCAGGTCGCTCTTCACCTAATCCTTCCAATAGAGTGAAGATCTTTCTCTTCCTCTGCTTCCTCCGGTGAGTACGGCAGCGAACACTTTAAAAGCTGGGTTGCTTTCATCTATTTGGCCGACATGACCTAACCAATATACCTTCTGTCTCTTCATTTACTGAACTATTTTATTGTCACCATATAACAACTTCAAAGTTATAACATGGGAGCCGAGTCGTGAATGCGCCGACCTGTTGTTTGATGACAGGAGATTTTTCGTTTTTTCCTCGTTCTTTATAAGATCCATTCGTCTTATTTCGTTATCAAGCGTTAAGAGGCTGGATAAACGGCGCAGTTGGTAATTCCGATGATATCATGGCTTCGGTATACCTCAGCTTCGGTACACTCATGTAAAAGATTGAAGAAATCATGCGATGAAGAGTCACCCTGTCCTGAAGCCATGTTTGGTATCGAACGATTTCTTCTTCCCAATTCGGACGGCGCTCCTGGTGTTTTCCAGCGTATGTTTACATAGCCATATAAGTGTTTACTCTGATGTCTAAGGCAGCTTTAAAATCGATGCGAAGTTAGGTATCGATACATTTCTTCTCGGCCTTTTACACGATTTGTAGTCACACAGATTAGGTCCAATCAGTTTGCTGACGCTCGGCTTCAGTCTTTCACACAATATGCTCGACATTAAGGAGGCTTATACCACGGTTCGCTCTTTTTTTTGGATTGGGCAGAGCACACTCAAACTGCAATCGTCCAACAAGCTTTCGCAAGACCAAATTCCGCAATGGGGCTGATACATGCACCTTGCCAATTCTTCACCGGCATGTTTAACGGCTCCGCCAGTAATACGAAGACTTCAGCCACTTTTTTATTCTTAAAGCGGGCAAACGCTATTCGAACCCCATCGTCACGCCATCTAAGTGTCACTGTCATTCAATAGGCTGGTCACACAGCAAGTATGACTCCCTGGGCATCAGTTACTAGATCTTCTCTCTGGTTACTAAAAGAGTTTGTTCCGTTCTTGAAACCATCTGTAAGTCGACGTATCTTTTCATAGAATGTTGGGGTATTACCCTTGTCGGGCTGCTTCTTAAACTCTTCACACTCACTTTCTTTTTGAACTGCCATGCGTCTTTCTTCCCTCTTTAGCTCTAGGTATCTATCCCATCCCGCACGTGCAGTTCGACATTTCTCATCGTATCAGCTTCTTTTCTGGTATTGCCGAAAACCCGCTGTTTCTGGAGCGAATTTGGAATGCCTTTCTGCAGTTCCCTTATACCGAGTTCCTGATGAACGCTCTCAGAGAGCAGGAATTCAAGTCGAGCGAAACCCCTTCGACTGTCAGTTGTGATTACAGCTTTTCCATGGCGAAGCTTCTTTGTTAGGACATCGACCAGTTGGGCAGCGGCGCCTTCCAAATTAAGGGACCCAACATTTTAGGTGCGTGCCTCCAAATCATGATCTTTTCGAGCCGTAAATCGTTAGCTGCTTTAGCCATACACAAAAGACTCGTTTCCGGCCACTTCGAAGAGAATGGCAGTCAAAACTTGGAGGAGTTGGCATTCCCTGCCGAGGAGCGACCGCGATTAAAAAATTTAGTTTAATTTTTTATTTAAAAAAAATTTTCTACACCTGTTTTGGAAGTTTGGACGACACCAGGATTTGAACCTGAGCTTTTTGAATGGCAGTACGCAATGCTAACCACTCTGCTACCGCGGCCACCTCTTTCGAAAAGGAGACTGGATCGGCAGTTACGGGGAATGGATTGCGCTATCGAGAGGTAATTTTCCTCTTTACATCGAAATAAACATCTGGTCGTTTACCTCAAAAAATGCCATTTTTCGTTGAATATCAATAAAATATCACGTCCTATTGAGTAGATAAAATCTACTCCTCAAAGTCCTTTCTAAAACGAAACTCAGCTTTTAACCTTCCTGTACTCATTGCATTTATTGTATTGTACCTGCCATATAAAGATATCCTTCTTTATGGATGGGAGAAGTATAAAAATCGTATTTGTAAAAAAAAAAAATTAAAACTAATGCTTAGAAAACAACAACACACACGTTTACGTATCTAATAATTCTAAACAAATAATCGTTATACTTAATGTTGTAATGGAATTCGCTTATGAAATGATCGGGAATACAACTGAGAGCGAAGAAAAGAGAAGAGAGGGGAGAGAGAAGGGTATTTATAATCTTGATAACTATAATCAACATAAATATGTATGTATGTATTGGTTAACATAGTTGTATAGTATATATGTATAGTCGGTTATTTCATACTCAGTGTGAAGATATGTTTATATGTCTGTATATATAATTCTAAGTAGTTTACTGAATGAACCGTTATTTATGATTATTTAATGCATACATCTCAATCAATTCACATACACGTATGTATATGTTTATGTGTATATATATGTAACATCATATCTTTCATTGTGCCAGAGTAGTAACTAAATTATTTGTGACCATAACAAAAAACAATCAAGAGCAATAAAAACGATTGCTTACAAATATATGTATGTATGTATAAATGAGTAAAATGTAGATATGTAATTACGTAAATGTTTATATAAGTTTGTATACAATAAAAAGTCAAGAGGTAGCAGCAGATAGATTCAAGCTTGGAAATTATTTTCACAGCATTCATATGAATGAATGTATGTATGTATGTATGTGAATAGTAAAGGATAATTCAAAAAAAAAATCAGTTTATGTAATCCGTAGTAGTCGCCTTGAACTTCAAAAAAAGCAATATTTACATTTGCCTTCGCCATTTTTAGTGTGGATAATAGTGTCCATGATGGGGATCAGCAGCTAACGGGTAACTGGCATAGGCAGTGCTGTGTGCCAAAGCCGGATAGGCAGCATGGTAGGGTGCACCAGCAGGTGCTGCCGGTAATGGTGCGGGAGCCGGTGCTAGAAGATGCGCCGGTGCTGGCTGAACGGGTGCATGTGGTACTGGCGCCAAAGCTAGGGGATAAGCAACAGCGGGTGCTTTCACAGGTGCTGCTGGACCCAACGGTGCCGGTGCAATGGGTGCAGCCTTATAGGCGAGTGGCTCCTTGCGCACTACAGCATTGAAGCCATTATGCGGATCGGCTGTGTAATCAACGGTACGTTTGGTGCCATCTGGATCGACAACGGAATAACTGCCCTTCACCACGTCACCGTGACGGGTTTCATGTTGGCTCTTTAAGTCGCCAGTGTAGCCATCTTGTATGTCATAGCCGAAAGAGTATTTCGGTGCCGGATCGTAAGGTTCGGGAGCAACTGGTTTTGGCGCTGGGAGAAGAGTATCTACAATGGTAACATTCTAAGGCAAATTTTCATTTTAATTTCGCTTACCTGCGGCTACATAAGGCACTGGAAGTGGTGCGCCATGTGGTGCTGCATAGGCTGGATAGTGAAATGGTGCAGGACCATCATGCCCATGTGGTCCATAATGAGCTGCATATGGGCCTATAACACCACCTTGCGATAAAGCAAATGTTGCCGTCATAAAGAGTATCTGCAAAGGAAGTGATATTAATCGAAATAGTCCGAAGATCAAAAAGTATATTGCGGTAAACTCAAAAATCTGATTGAAGAGTTTATAATCTATAAATTGGGTTCTTATGATATATGAATACCGCTTTGTAGTCGTTGAAGCGACTCCACCACCAATTTGTGGCCTCCCCGAAAGGGCAATAAATTTTTATGAGGACCTTCTTGTCTTATATCCTAAAAGATTCGCGGGGTTGACATTATGAAATACTTATATATGTATATAGAGGGTGATTTTTTAAGAGCTATAGAGAAGGTTTTGTGAAAAAAAAAACACTTAAAATTCACAAAAATGCATGATGAACACTTTCTTTGAATCGATAGTAGGGTCCATATAATTGAATGTTTGAAGATTATTTCATGCAAATGTTGACCGTGACTGCGCCTTAAATGGTCCATCCATTTAGTCCAATTTTGGCACACTCTTACCAACATTTCTTGTCTGTATTGCTCCACAAAAAATAGTCTAAAGACGTTAAACTGCACGATCAAGGCGGCCAATTGACCGATCCCGAAAGTGAAATAAAATGTCCATCGAACTCGCCTCTCAATAAGTCTATTGTTATGCGTGCTGCGAGGCATGTGGCACCGTCTTATTGAATCCACATGTCATGCAAGTCAAGCTCGTGCATTTTGGGCAAAAAAAGGTTTGATATCATCTCACGGGAGCGCTCACCATTCGTAGTTATATTACGATTCGCATCATCTTTGAAGAAGTACGGTCCAATGATGCCACAAGCCCGAAAACCACACCAAACCGTGACTTTCTCTGGATGTACTCGTATTGGTAGCTCCTGCAATGCTTCTGGCTGTTCTTCACTCCAAAATTGAAAATTCTGCTTATTTACGCACCGTTACAGGGGGTCTATTAAACTAGTCATCGGTCCATAATTTTTCGAGATATGTGGATCTTTATAAACGAGCGTAAAATGTATATACTCGTATGTAAGTGTATATAAATTGATCTACGAGGTGTGTTCAAAAAGTATCGCGAATTTTGAATTTTCGCGGGTTACGTATAATCGAATTTCGATTTTTTTGTGGCGTTATGTACGTACGGCGTACTCATTTCTGTCACTTATGCCGACAAGCTCGGCTATTTTGGATGTTCATTTAATTGTTGACAGCTGCTTTGCTTGCACGTGTTTTGGATGGTCTTCGATATTTAACTATTAAAAAAATGTATCAAAGAACCTGTACCAAATTTTGTGTGAAAAACGAAATTAAGTGTGCGCGGATGCATTCCGAATGTTGACTGTGGCATACGGAGAAGCTACCTTGGACCGAAGCAACGTTTATCGGTGGTACAAAATGTTCGCAGAAGGCCGAGAAGATGTAAACTCCGAAAAGCGTGCCGTACGCCCGAGCACTTCAACACAGACGAAAAAATTAATTTCAGGGGCGTGGTGCATCTTGAGTTCTAGCCACAGGGTAGATCGGTCAATAAGAAATATTACCTGCAAGTAATACGCAATTTGTGCGAAGCAATCCGCCAGAAACGCCCGGTTTTGTGGAAGAACAAAAATTGGCTTTTGCACTACGATAATGCCCCTGCTCACACATCGCTGCTTGTGCGTGACTTTTTGGCCAAAAACAACACACTAATGATGCTGCAGCCACCGTATTCCCCAGATCCGGCGCTCTGTGACTTTTTCTTGTTCCCTAAACTGAAGAGGCCCATGAAAAGACGACGTTACGCTACGATTGACGAGATAAAGACAAGATCGAAGGAGGAGCTGAACAAGATAAAAAAATGATTTTTTGTAGTGCTTCGAAGATTGGAAAAACCGTTAGCACAAGTGTTTAATATCTCATGGGGATTACTTTGAAGGGGACAAAATACGTGTAGATATTCATGAATAAATAAATAATTTTTGAAAAAACTCAAAATTCGCGATATTTTTGAACACACCTCGTATTTCCTTATTTGAATATGAATACTTATTCACACTCAATATAAACCCCAAGCAAAAATATATAAATACAATAAAAATACAATCAAATCGTGCTAATTTTTTTCAACTATCGGTGATCCCTTTTGTGATCCTCAAGCAAATCGAACGTGTTTCCAGGTATCTGATACATTTCCATTCACTGCCCGGAGAGAATACTGCTCCTTCCCAGTTATAATAGAAACCAACTGACAAACTTTCAAGACAATCGATTGGTAATTTTTTGAGAACACTGGAGTCTTTCAAACCCGCATTAAACTTTTATATAAGATATACAAAATATAAGAAAGTTTATTCAGTAAAAAAAAAAATTTCGGTAAGTGAAATCGAATGCGAAAAACTCCTATTTATTTGCACATAACAATGTAAGGCGTCGGTTAAATGCTTTATATAAATAATTAAAAAAAAAATCCAACGATAACAAAAATTAATTTGCTCATCTTAATTCATACTTCACTTTGAATAACTATAATTTGATATTCCATATTAAATTAAATGTCCGAAGCATATCAAATACTTTTCACACATTCAGCATACTCATTTCATATATTCGTATCAGACAGAGTCCTATTTATTGCATAATTTCATATTTTTCACACCTTCAACATTAACATCCTGCCGATGTCCTTCGACACGAGTCCACTCGAAAGTCGATTCGAAGACGCGCTAAAGACGCGTACAGCTGCCAAGACACTTTATTTGCCAGGACGTGAGTATTCGCAAACACGACTCAGTCCGAACCGCAACAAAAACGGATAAATAAGCAAACGAAATGCAATAGGCAAAATTAATAAAGCCAACAAACGGATCCGACACGTGAAATTGAATAACTGTGAAGCGAAGCTTATAGTTCTTGACTTTTATAGTATTGTAAGTGCCGCAACTAATGTCAACGGTGCATATAAACGAAGACGGAGTTGTCTTGTGGTGGTGGCGGTGCTACAAAAAAAATTTAATAAAAACAACATAAATTTGTACAACAAACACACATGACGATGCGCCAAAAAAGTGGTTATAACAACAATACACTTTACAATGGCAAAACAACAAAATTAACAACAATACTACAACAACTATACGGCATCCAACAACTTAGACAAGGAACGGCTCAAGCAGCTCCCCATGCTCTCCGCCAACCGGCAGATCGGCTTTGGCTCGATATAAATGTATGTTCGCGTGTAAGTATGTATATATGGCGGCATAAAAGATACACCACGTATTCAATATAACAACAAAGTTGGGTTAGCCAGCAGTAAAGTTAAATTGTCCAATGCTAACAATGCGCTAATTTAATGTGGCAGCTCTTTGTAAAAGTGGAAAATAATTGGAAGAGCGCACAGAGCCACAGCGAGCCTCCTTCTACTTTGACTTGCATGCTCATTTTTTTTTTCTTTTTTTTTATTAATTTTAAAAAAAATTTTCTGAGGTGCGGCTAAGGGTCCAGTGCACAAATACCTGCAAAGAGAAAAATCTTAAAAGCAAAACAACACGCTGGGAAGAAGCTGGGAAATCGCACCATCGATTTAGGCAAATTTTGTGCATGCACATGGCTCTGCTGTGTAGAGACACTCCAACAGCATCACTGATGTACAGTAAAAACAATCCGCAAAAGATATGCCGCGACACACCACGACCTGCTCTGGGGCATGCGATGTGTCAGTTGGTTAGTGTGGTAGTGTGGCGGCTCAGCAAACACGATCGACTAGTGTGTCCATTGCATTTGGCACAGCAGATCGAATTGCCAGACATGGAAAATTCACTAGGGCTGTGCGCACCCACCCACACCTTGGCACTTAAGACGTCAGCGCAAGTCAGCGCAAGTCAGCGTCTATTTTTCCTTTACGTTTCCTCCAAAGGTGTTTGTTGTTGGCACTTCAGTGTCTTTTTCTTTTCGAGAGGTTATTCTTCGGTGATCCTACTTAAAGGGCCCTCTGCTGTTGCCAAGATGCATGTCTGCGGCGTGTCAGATGTTTGCCTCTCCCTTTCGATTTCATTTTGATTTTATTTGATGAAATTACACTTTTTAATCTTTTACTCAGACGGAAGTATTTTGTATGAGTTATGTGTTTGTATTTATGAATCTTTCCCACTTAATGTAGACGTTAAGAGGAGCAAAGCTTAATCAATAAGTTATAAAACAATAATGATTTAAATAAAAGAGTGGTTTCGATCCGCCTCGAGAAGCAATCTTATTTTTGCAAAGCTAAATCTTTAACATCAAATGCTTCTCAAATTGATTCAAAACAAAAAGGTTTACTGGGAATTTGAGAACGCATATAGCAGTATGTACAAATATAAGTATATATTACGAATTTGGTTTTGAAGTCCACAGGGAGTGTTTCAACATTTTATTCTTAGTTATGAATGACGGCAATTTAATAAGAAAAATAATTCGTAGATTTTTAAATTCAAATTAAAATAACTTTAATATTATACTTAAATATTTGTATGACATCATGTCTTACATACATATACTCGTACATATGTACATCAAAGTGCTGCAACAGCAATTCATCATGTTGCATGTGCCAAATAAATTTCAATCAGAATTTGATGCGAAGAATCTAAAGTTACTGAGCAGCTTTGAATTTTATTTAATAAAACTAACGAAGCAACTCTATCAACTGCGATTGCATACTCGCTGCAAGAATACACGAAATAAGAGTACTACTCTTAGAATACATATATGCAAATCAAACACTAAACCTAAAACAATCAAAACATTAAATTACATATGTACACATGCGGCTTTGGCTTATTGAATACATTACAAATAAATTGGCTGCAAATACAAGATGACTACAAATAAGCAGTAAGCAAATACACATAAATACACTGGGTTCTCTAAGATAATTTTTTTTTTTTTTTTAATTAATTTCTTTTAATTTTTTAATTAATTTTGTTTTATTTTATTTTGTTTTATTTTATTTTATTTTATTTTATTTTATTTTATATTATTTTATTTTATTTTATTTTATTTTATTTTATTTTATTTTATTTTATTTTATTTTATTTTATTTTATTTTATTTTATTTTATTTTATTTTATTTTATTTTATTTTATTTTATTTTATTTTATTTTATTTTATTTTATTTTATTTTATTTTATTTTATTTTATTTTATTTTATTTTATTTTATTTTATTTTATTTTATTTTATTTTATTTTATTTTATTTTATTTTATTTTATTTTATTTTATTTTATTTTATTTTATTTTATTTTATTTTATTTTATTTTATTTTATTTTATTTTATTTTATTTTATTTTATTTTATTTTATTTTATTTTATTTTATTTTATTTTATTTTATTTTATTTTATTTTATTTTATTTTATTTTATTTTATTTTATTTTATTTTATTTTATTTTATTTTATTTTATTTTATTTTATTTTATTTTATTTTATTTTATTTTATTTTATTTTATTTTATTTTATTTTATTTTATTTTATTTTATTTTATTTTATTTTATTTTATTTTATTTTATTTTATTTTATTTTATTTTATTTTATTTTATTTTATTTTATTTTATTTTATTTTATTTTATTTTATTTTATTTTATTTGATTTTATTTTATTTTATTTTATTCTATTTTATTTTATTTTATTTATTATTTTGAAATTTGCTGCACTGTGTGAAAATCAATTCAAATTATATTAAATGGGCTTGTAAATTTGAGTATAAATCAGAGGAAAATCCGATATTCGAATAAAAATTAAGACAGCATTCTTTGTTATTGTTATTGATATTGGTTTTAAGTGTTGTTTTTTGATGTTTTTGTTGTTATTGTTGCCCTCTTGCACGAATAAAATACATCACGAAGGCATTAGCAGTAAGTAAGAGGAAGCAGTGAGTCTGAATAAGATATACATAAATAATGTTTGTACATATACATAAATGTATGTATGCTTGTTTAATATCACAATAACGACAATAATCAATGCAATGCTATAAGCTTCATTTATTTAAAAGCAATTGGCCAAAATGGCAGCACAGTGCAAAAAGGTCAAAATGAATTCGGAATCAGAATTTGCGATATGACCGGTTAAAACGTTAAATAGCATTAGACTATGCGAACCATTACGCTCTGCAATGCTGTGTCTACTGGCTGCTGTCTTCGTTGTAATTGTAGCCGAACGAAAAGCCGCAGCTTCTTAAGCTGGCGGAACAGCAGATCGACAACACTCCTCGAAACCTGACAAGCGCACAAGTGCCGGCTAGAGCAGAATGCACACAAAAAGAAGAAGAGTTGGTTGCAAAAAGAGGAAAAAGTAAATGACAACAAACCTGTTAGCGCCGGCACTGGCATTGTCGTATGCCTTAGCTAAGCTTAGTAGTGGGAGCTTCTTTTAAAGGCCAACTTTGCTGCACTCAAACGGATTACATGCATGAATGTGTGTTATTTCAATGCATGTCTTCACGTTCCTACACGTGAGTTCGAGTTAACCATCAGTTCACTCGTTCTTCGGCAGATTAGTGCCTTCATTTGTTTGAGAGGGTATTTATTACCTAATGCCTCGTCTGCGCTTCGTATCATTTACAATGCAAATTATTTGGAATTTCTTCATTGCACAGCTTCACTTTTTGACTTGACTCTTTAATTTATTAAAAATGATTTCCTTGGGAAAATTATTGAAAACCTTTTTGCATTAGATTGTCGGAACGGTGCGTATGCCCAAGGTTGTCACAGAGAATTAATATAAGGGAATTGTTTGCAAAATATTTCCTTGGCTATTTGGCAATACAAAATTCACGTTTTTGGTAATACGTCTTGCAATATTTATTTAAATTTAATCCATCGCATATATGTACACATATAATATAATTATATTTCTAATGAAAATCAATACTCCAAGCAAACTGTCCAAAAGATGGCAAGTGCAAAAACATGCAGCGAAGTCGTTAGATCTTTGAACGATTCCTATGCAGCCGCGTAACTTAGCGTTGCAACACTCCATTTTTGATTGCTTGCCATTGGTATTACTTGAGATACAATGGCAAGCGGTAGCCGTGTGATTAGCATTACGTACTAAAATTCGGAGGGCTGGGGGTTCGAGCCATAGTTCGACCAACATCTAACATATTAAAAAAAAAATTTTTCTAATTGCATTCGGAGTCTATTTCTGACATGAAATAAACTATTGATCCCTCCATTTGTTTGAAAACAACTACACGCGTACCACAAATTGGAGGAGGATCTCAGACGAATATCGTTTCAGCAGTTACAAAGCGCCAATTACACTGCTTGAAATCTGCAGCCTGCCTTCAAATGGTGGCAACCATCCTTGATATTTTAAGGTTAATAATTGGAGTGGCTACTGCGATAAACTCCTGAGTTCAACATGTGAGCTTTGAACGACATATAAATTAGCCGATGCCAGCAGGTGGCAACTATTGTATAACTGCAAAGTTCTAACAAGGATAAAAACATGCTCAAATGAAGAAAGAAATGCTGAAGTACCTAATCCTCATAAATAAGTCTAGCCATGGCAACCCTTTACTTTAATAAGATTTTTGCGTAAAATTAGAAGTTGAAAACATTAAAGTGCTAATGTATACAATCACTGTAAGCTACATATTTATGTACACAGTGTCGATTTCGAGCATTTATGATTGGCTAAGAGAATGGTTGGACGATTCGTTTGATGTCAAACAACTCTTCAGACATCAGAGGATACTGGAAAAATTAATAGAGCTGCAGAGCTAAATATACAAAGCGCACTATTTTTTAAGAGTGTACAACTGCTGTCGTACGCCCTTAACAACCGCGTCTTAAGTTCTGCCTTCAGCAGGTTTGACAAAGAAGCGAATCGAATGGGTCTGGTAGTCAACGTTGAGGAGACGAAAATTCTCCTGCATCAAGCACACAGTCGAAGCATTTACGGCTTGGCTCTCACGCCACCGTTGACTGTCATAACTTCGAAATCATAGATCATTAAGCACTAAAACCATTAACAAGATCAGCCTTGAAATCCAATGCAGACTCACTCTTGCCAGCAGTTGATACTTTGAGATGAGTAGGCAATTGAAAAGTAAAGTCCTCTCTCGATGAAACCAAACCGAACGTTACAAGTCATTCAGTATTCCTGTCCTACTATATGGTGCAGAAGCTTGAACGACGTCGACATCTGATGAATCTGCCATGCAAGTCTTCGAGAGAAATGTTTTGCGTACGATGAAAGCACTACAGCTTTGAAAGTATTCAATGCAGTACCCGTCGGTGAAAGTAGAGAAAGAGCAAGGCCTCTACTTCATTAGTAGAATTAGGCGGAGAACCAGAAGCAAAACACGTCGAACAGAAGTTCGTCTGGCTGATAAAAGTGTTAGAATATATAAAAGTTTTACTTACGTCTTTTATTTGTCTCGCTTTTTATTTTGTTTCGTTCAAATAATAAAAACTATTTATTGTCAATATTATTCACTAATATAATTCACTAGCACTTATTAAGACCTTAACACTTAGGAACTATGTATGTATGTATTTACAAGTGAAAATAAATTTGTCCGCCCTAAAAATAAGCCGCTCCATTGTCCCGTATACTCTGCGAACCCGCATTCGCAGCCAAGACATCTACGGACTGTGTGCGTTGCTCCAGAAAACTGAAATTGTACCAACGTTCGTTTTTGCCAAAATTTTCACCATCTTCCAAAGATGTTGGCAAAGTTCTGGAAATACAATACATATGTACATAATTAAAATACACATATTATATGCATAAAAAAATCGTAGATTTCATAAGAATGTTTAATTGAGTACACGAATTTTGATATAAAAATATTCGACTTCTAGAGATTCAAGGGATTTCGTGAAAAAATTATTTTAGATGCATTTCATTTACGTTTATTTTCGGAACCACAAAATGGATAAACTCAATCAAGTTAAAAATTGTTGTTTTAATTAAATATCCAAATTGGAATCATTTTTGTCAGAAATGGGACACTTTTACAGGCTACAAAGGATTTCAACTTGGATTTTTTGTTGTAAGACAAGTGTCTTAAGGGATCGGAATTTCTTTTCAATCAACTCATTTATATTATATAAATACATTAAAGGTTTTGTCCGGAATTACTGAAATTTGGGGAATGTATTTTGCATATGACGTAAGCAACCGCTAATGAATGATTTTCCGGAAAGTGCGACCGATTTATTCGAAAAATATGAGTTTAATTTTAAAGCGTTTTATTTACATTAAATTTGATACACAGTTAGCAATTCGCCCAAAATGTCATAGGGTATACTTTTTTTTTTTTTGACGACAGGAAATGTCAACCCTTCCGAGTGTATTTCTGACATGAAATAAAAAGGCTCCTCATAGCGAGCCATCAGCCGTTCGGCTTGGAAAAACATCAAGACGCAAAATTACAAATTGGAGGAGGAGCTCAGCCGAAAATCGCTTCAGCGATTACAAAGCGCCAATTATACCATATATACTAACTTTTCCTCCAGGGAAGTGGGTATGGGACCGATTTATTCGAAAAAGTCTAGCTTGTTTTCAAATTATCTGATTTACTATTTGCCTAAATTGAAATGGGGAACACTTTCCTTCCGATTCGATAGCTCGGTTTTTTTCTTGTTTTATGTGAATTATATGTTGATCGCTCTTTGCCAAAGTCAATATGTGGAGAACTTTGCTTACCGAAAGTGAGTCAGGAACCGAACTATTCGGAGAAGTCGTATTCATAGTCCGATATGCTTGTAGTTTGGCAAATAGAGAACTCTTAGCCTTTGTCAAGGTGTGGAGAAATTTTCCTTCCGATATTTCTACAATAATTACACTCGTTTTTATGGTTCCACTTGCTTGAAGTTTTAACCGTAGAAAGTCCCTTTAAAAGTTATAATGAAAGTAACAACAAGTAATATAAATTTTATTTGATTTCTTCGCTTTGAATTCCATGCGGACGAAGTCCTCCAGCTATGAAGGACTGGTTGTTTGTGTAAATTAAATATTTTTGTTATACAACAAAGAAAAAGTGGCAGAAGTGACAGCTGTTTCGGAGATCACCACATCTCCTCATCAGACTTCTTATGGCGGGGATCGAAACCGACGGATACTGACTTAACAGGCGAGTGCTCTACCACTGCGCTAACATCAGTCATATAATCTATTGTTGTATTATTCAATTCATTATTATCCAACAACTATTAAGTGCGCTAATTTAGTCGCTATTTTCATAACAGCTTGGTTAGTGAGTAAAAAGTCATTGGAAAATATATGCAAACAACAGAATTCTAATAATACAGTCTTTATCCGCATGACATTTCGAAATGGTTCAAATGAAATTTTAAATTGGTTTAATTAACTTGTCTTCATGTGTGTGGAATAAATAAATAAAAAGTTTATGAAAATATGACGTATATAGACTAACTTCCGGGAAGCGTGAATCGAATCCTTATTACATACCGATACCTCAGACCCTGATCGCAGGATGAAAAAATTGTATTCCCCAAATATAAAGCAAAGCTAGCTAAATACAAATACATATTTTGTTTTCCCGTGATACACTTCCAGGGAAGAAAAGTTTTCTATATCTCCCAAACTTCAATCATTTCGAACCAAACGTCTGTCGTTTCCCATGTCTAGACCTCGAAAAGAAAAGCTCTTTAAATATTAGCCAATGTTTTCTATCTGTCATCCAAATATTAATTAAATCACACTTTAAAAATGATTTTTCCCCATTGGTCGATCCCACGCCCACTTAGGCTAAAAGTTGTCTCTGCATCAAATTTCAAGTAAATCGAACCATGAATGTGTTCTCCATGTCAATTTGAGCAAAGAATCTAAACAAAAGTTTATATAAATCGAACGGCTTAGAAATAAATATGATTTTTTTCAAATATATCGGTTCCAGGTCGACTTCCATAAAATCCTATCTCATCGGATGCCTACGTCATACACAGAACACCCTTCACGTTGCGGACTTCCATGTGAAGAGTCTTGGGCTGTGGATAGTTCTGTCAGACCTTCAGCCTTTTTATATATAATACAGGGTGCCCCATCAATTTGTGGTTTCAACCGATTGCGTGCAGTAAAATCTTTTTGAAAAGGTTATTCCAATACAATTTCAATCGTGTATCGCTTGACGCCCAAAGAACGTACGGAAATTGTTTCAATGTACATAGAGTGCAATCGGTTAGTTGTTGCAACACAGCGTGCGTTTCGGGAGAAGTATCGCGGCGGTGCTGCGCCTAAAAGTGAAACTATTCGTCGTTCGGCTACGAATTTCGCGACTCACGGAAGACTCACACCGTGGAAATTCTTGCGGTGAAAATTTTCGACGTGTGGCATCGAAATGAGGGCATATCGACTGGCCACCAATATCGCCCGATTTGACTACACCTTTTTGGGCTTTTTGAAAACCAAAGTGTATGCCAACAAACCGAAGACTTTGGACGAGCCGAAGAACAACATTCGTGCTGAAACTGCTACGATATCGTCTGAGATGCTGGCAAATGTCATGGAAAATACCGAAAAATAGCGATTTTTTTTGCACAATGAAGGGGATCTTATGATCGACGTTTTTTTTTCAGACTAAAAACCTCTTTTTGCGCAAACGAGTGAGAAAACTATAGCAAAGCATAGGGTTGAATAGAAGACTACACCCTCGTTAGTTCAATGAAACTCATAAAAAAGTTTAGTTTTAGTTTAAGCAATTGCCTATTCGAGCAATAAAAACCCTGCTGCTGTATTGGCCTAAGGAAGATCAATTGCCCAGAACCTGCTCACCTGTTCAGTGTCTCTGGCAGCAGCAAACACAATCCGGCGCCCAAAAGTGATAGTATACCCAAAATTATCTCCGGCATGGGTTGGAAAAAAGAGCGCGTGTATAGAATGTAAGAGCTGAAGAAAGTAAAGGCATAACCCATGACATGCACAACTGCAACGCCTTGCCCACGCACGCATGTGGGTATCAACTCTGTGGCATATTGTGCTCCAGAATTATAGGCGACTGTTACACCGAAGCGTCCAATAACCGACAAGACTACCACAAGCAATACGTCTGTAAAAGCATGGAATTGAAATTATTCTAGATAAATATAAAATATGTAATTAAAAAATGGCACTCACCCTTCTCGCCACCACTACGATCCGTGCAAAAGAGTATCGCACCGGTTACCGATATAAAAACGCCACTCAGCAGCAGCGACATGGATGCCATCGCTTTGCGTCCGATACGATCTTGCAACACGATCAACAGTATACAGGCCGGCAGTATGGCCGTGGCGCTCAATGTGAACATGACAAATGGCGATATGCCGAGACCTTGAACATTCCGCGACACCGCGTCGTAACACAAAGTGATGACCATACTGTGACAAAAACAAAAACAAATATGTACATGTTGAAAGTTAATTAAGAGCCACCATAAAAACTCGGAAAATATTATTAAAATTATATTTAGCAAACTTACGACTTGAAAAACAATATGAGCGTGTTGCGTCGCAGTCGTGGCGTTACAAATAGCCCAAAGAGATTTGGACCAGATTTCGTATGCAGCTGGCTACGTTTGCATTCATCTATGAATTCGGTGTAGACAGATTCGTCTACTGTACGTCCATTGATTTTCGCTACACGCATTAAACACTGCACGGCTTTGTCGTATTTCTGCTTCGAGATCAGCCACTGCACGCTCTCGGGCACAATGAAGTAGAACAGCGGCACAATGGCGAACGGTGCTGAGGTGGCCAGGAGGAAGCCTCGCCATGTGTGCAGCAATACAGCAATCCATGGTGCAGCCATTGAGCCAAGACAGTAGAAGAAGCCAATGCAGATGCTCAGGCCGACGGTACGCAGTGAGGGGCGTAAATATTCCATAACTGTAACAGTTTAAATAAAACAAATTTTGTCACACACAGAGTTAAAATGAACGTAGAAGATTCCAATTGAGAATTGGGTAATGATTAGATTTCAAAGCACTTCCCTATACGAGACCTTTGAACTCTCTCTCTCTATCTCTCTCTGTAATATTTGTAAACAACTCACCCAAAATATACATCATAACGAAGTTACTATCTGTCGCCATGCCGGACAGGAAACGAAAAAACGAAAATGTTGGCAAGGTTGTGCCAAAAACCGTCAACGAATTACCAACCATCGCCACAACATTCGCCGCAATTAAAATCGGAAGACGACCTAAAGTCGGAACAACACACAAACACTTTTTCCCATTACTGTGTTGAGCACTAAGCGAGAACAATTAAAAATGTTTACTCACCCAAACTATCAGCTAAGAAACCAAACAACAAACTGCCCACCACAGAGCCAACAAAAAACATTGCTTGACCCAATGTCACCTGCCAAGCACGATCGCAAATCCAATTCAATTCGCTCGTGAAACTTTGATAACCCATATATAGCTCATAATCGAAATGCTGACACGTGTGTGACAAATTCGCCAAATTCGCTGCTGAGACATTCATCTCCACTGTCATTGCGTCATCATCAATACCAGCTGCAAAACGTTGCGGCAGACACGAGGAACCTGCCTGCCTGCTGGCATCCGCATAAGCATCCGTGGGATTCGTGTAGCCATCGATGCACCTGAAAAGGAAAAAATTTTAAATATTATTAACCTGTTTGAAAAAGTAGAACATTTTTTTGAAATAACAGTAATTTTGTTTCTCTGTATTGTTGCGTTCGAAATCTTCGGCCATCGATAGGGTCCGAAAAACTAGAACATATCCCGGTCGTTGTTTATATAAAAAAGAACAGAGGCTGGCCTGCTGTTTGGGTCGTCGTGTCTTTGTTAATTGAGCAAAACTCTCGTATCGGAGCCTCGAAAACCCCAAGATTTATTGTTGAAAAGCCTCTTCATCCTCAATGTGTAACTTTTTTTGCGATTTATGGTTCGAAGGGCTCATTTTACCTTATTTTTCGTAAAAGAATGGATGGCGCCATCGAGAGATGATTCATTAATCATATTTATAACCAGAATTGGATGGTATAGATCTCTGGACAACGCTTACTTTCAACAATGCGACGCTACGTGGTGATGGTACGATCTTTTAAGAGAAAAGTCTCGAGACGGTGTTATCTCTGGAAGAGATAATCGAAATTGGCCAACAATATCTGTGATTTAACCTCTAGTGACTTCTCACTTTGGAGCCAACATGCCAAGTTCGATTCAAGACAGCCACTTAGTGATTTGGTGATGGAAATTTTCATAAAAAGGATACGCTCCTGTAAGCTTACCCATGATGGTTGATATTCTTTTCTACTATTAATGGAAATGAATGGGCCTGGGACCGATCTATTTGGAAAAATCATATTTATTTTTAAAACGTACAATTTATATGAAATTTGGTTCGGAGCTCTTTGCCTAAATTAGCATGGCTAACATTTTTTCTTCTTGGAAGTAGTTCTAGGGCTGATCAATTTTATAAAATTATATATATAATTTAATTTATCCCAAAAAGTGCCATTCTTTGAATATCAAATTAACACCTCTGATTGGAAAATCAACAATGGTGGGCAATTCCACCCACTCAAAAGCAGCAGTAGGCCAGATGTTGATAAACAAACAAAAAAAAATCTGAGAATAAAAACAAGTAATTTTAACAAACTTTGTACAGTTCTCATTTAATGCGCATTAAGTCAGAGCAACACAAACATGACAAGTTCGTGACATTACTCACCAGTATTTCGGCACGAAGCTGATGATCGTTTGTGAGTAGTAATGCAGCGCTGATAGCAGATTGATGATGCAAAATAATAACAACATGATCGCTTGCAAACGATGATAATCACCGCATTTTTCCAAGATTTTATCAAGCTCCAACATTTTCAGCGAGGTGAAGAGAGTTGCTCGCGATGAATGAAGTACTTTCACTGATGAGCACTTGGGAAATTTGTTTACTCTTTTTCAAAACTGCTGAATTTACTTATTATGGCTGTTTACAGGCTTATTAAATGTTCTGTCTACAGCTGTAATTGAAAATATTTTTGTAGATGTGATACTCTCGATATCTCACTGTTGTCGTCGGTGTGTTTTTTGACGTAAGCGGTACCGAGCTGCTGATGGGGATGCGTCGCGTTGTTGTGTTAATCAAGTAGCTTAAATTACAGATTCACAAGCACAAGACGAAATTTTATTATTTATTTATTTTTTCATTTTATTTTTTGTTTGTTTTGAAATCATAATTAATTTTAATCGGCACTTTTGGCTCTGTTCATATAAACAGTTGTTTTTCAGAGTTTTTTTATTATTTGAAATGGTTTTAATGAGTTCATAGAACTCTTAAAAGTCACACACTTATGTATATTCAGAATTATATACTTATATTGAGTAATGAAAATGGAAAAAATATTTTTTTTATACAAATTTATATGTAACATATGTATTATAATTCGCGCTTCATAACCACTGAAGAGATTTTTGGTCACTTTAAAATACTTTCGTTGCAAATTTTAAACTTTAATTGAGATCCAAATCTGTGCGTCTCCTCAATCAATTGCTCATTGCCGGATACGACTGTTTGCTGGGTATCCGTAAATCCCATTGGCTGAACTCACTCAACACTCATCAGTTCGAATAAATGATAATCTGGAAACATGCCCTCGGTGTTGCAACTTTTTTCAAAATAAGAAACCAAAAAACCTTTTTCGAATAAACTTTTCTTTAGCGACAAAGCACATTTCTCACTCGGAGGTTACTTAAATAAACAACCCTCAAATAATTGAAGAAAACGTGTGACAATGCTTAGTTAATTAAAAGAGGAAAGCTAAGGCGCAATCGGCCGCTCCTAAGCCGTTGAGCAGGCTCATTGTACTCCCCTATGTATCCCAACTAGTCCGCTTGATTTTATAAGTTTTTTAAGTTTCTTCCAAGCATCGTAGAAGGTGTGACATCTCAATTGCCTGAAGGCCTTTTAGTGCATTCCCTGCACACCGCTGATTCTACTTTATCTAGCTTGTGCAGATGATATCCCAAAGAGAGCGGAGTCCCGTTAATATCCCATAAGAATGCTAAGCTTTCTTTTGTTTAATATAAGTAACAGTTTGGTCTGACTACTACTATCCCTGCTGACACATAATAATTTAGAGGTACGTCACGCTTTGAAAAAGTTCCAAGACCTTAAGTGCGCCTCTGTGGTCCGCTCTTTTAAACCTCAATTGATAGCGCTGAAGGGTATGAGGTAATCAATGTTAACAACCCCTACATCTGACCACCTCTTCACAGCCTTCTACAGCCATATGAACTGAGACGCTGGTGTGGTATTCTGCGAAATGCCACTTTGCATGTTCTAATGCATATGGACTTTCTGTTGACGCACTCAATTGATTTAATTGCCGCTTGACTGTCTACCAGAAACCTGATTACGAGCGGTTGCCCAGAATACCCGCAATCTCCGCTGGGAATACAGATCTATAGATATTGAGATTGAAGCTACCTTGATATTTGGCTTGGTTACAGAAGAGCTCTGCTACAGTGCATACTTCACATTTAGACCCTTTGGTATGGATAAAGATATCCGTTCATTTTTCTCCACCCGACAGAAGATTTACGTTCCACGATCTGGACTAAGCCCGACTTAGTCGAATATTTAGGCGTTTAGCTCTTAGTACTGCCGTTTTCATTACCAAAGTCAAGGATCACTTCTAGGACTTGTGTTGATGTAGTTCTCAACACGTCAGCTAAACCAAGCAGGCAGGTACGTTACAGCTGTTCCAAGGGCCTAACATGGCACTCCTTCTTTACACTAGTGCTTCACATGTTAGTATGGGTCTTACGACACTTATGTAAAGCCAATGCACCATACATGAGGTCGTGGTCCCCATTTTGATGCAATAGATGTTCTGCAGGTATTCCAAATTCTGAAAGATTTACTGGCCTTATTTTCAATCTGTTCCCTCCAGTTAAACCGAGATACTTAAAAGAGCTGGAGGTAATCATAATATTATCTCTTAAAGATGGTGAATTGAGTTGCTGAACCTTCATCTTTCTAGTAAAGACACGGTCGATTGAACCTTAATCCTTTTAAAAGGACAACGGCGAGACATTCACTAATAATTCGGTACATTGTTTTTGACTTGAAATTTAAGACAACATGATGACGCAAGCGAATAGCACGAGCGAATATGACTCTATCGTGAGGGAAATTATCCGTCCACATTATCTCTCGTCTTTGGCGAAATCAATTAGCCATCGAGATCATGTGATTTGACACTATTAGGCTTTTCCTTTTGTGAGGCTCTGTGAAAGACCGTGATTATGCGGATGAAACTTTAACTCTTGAGCACTTGAAAACCAACGTTCTTTAAGTTATGTCTGAGATACTGTTCAATAAGTGCCGAAAAGTGGTCGAAGATCACCTAAAACGGATTAAAGTTTCACGGTGAGGTCATTTGAATTATGTAGTGTTTCACATATGTTTAAATCCTTGAAAAAAAAAAATATTTTTATGCACCGAAATACTCCAGTTGTGTTAGGAAGCTTCCTAAAATACATTCACACTTTTCAAAAATTCCTCTTTTGTTTCTAGAAAAAATTTAAAGGAAACATTTAATCTATAAAATCGCACATTTTATTTCTCACTCACAATCCGGTCACACAAAAAACATTGAAAAATAGCACAAACTCAGCGCATATAGTTTGAGTAACTAATTTCTTGATTTTCATTTGCACAATTAAAATTTTGCACTTTTTCATTACAGTAATTAAAACAAATTCGCAAAATGAGAATCTGGTGCACTCATCGTAGAATGCGCAGTGTTTTTGTATATAATTTCTCCCGATCAGAAGCACACAGAGTCACTACGCCTACAACATTAAGCCGTCAAACCGTTAAACCGACCAGCGCGAGCACAACCCAGATTAGCGAATGCGAAGACTAACTTTGGTCGATCGTCAAGGCTGCATATCATCCCACAGGGTTATATTGTAGACATTCTTAACGCGCACAAACACACTCACACCCCACTTACGCACAACAAACAAAGTTCCACAATATAAAATAAAAATAATAAATAAAAAATAAAAATGAAATTCAACGAACGACGTAGAAAATCTCGCACAAGTGTAGAAATATAAATGAAAACCACATTTTCACGCGCGTAACTAACTGCACTTCACCTGGCGAGCGTTAGCGCGGGGTTGGTTGCCGGGAGCAGTCTGCATTGGTCAGTGCTGCTCGCGAATAAACAAAACATCTGCGGCAAGATTATTCCTAATCAGCGCGGAAATGCACTTGCAAAGAGATCGTAAATAAAAGCACTTGTTGTTGTTGTTAGTTTATTTATCACGTGATTGCAGCAAAACACAAAATGTATTATACGAAAATCGGTAAAGTTATTTTCATTGATTTAACGTTGATTTAGCGTTGTTCACCACCGACTTCCATTTCCTCGAGTCTGATGCATTTTCGTGTAAATTATATTTCAACTCCACTCCGGTACGCGTAGTGTATGCCCTTAAATAGCAGTACATATAAATATTTGAAATTCATATAATTCACGTTTCTACACTCGCTTGACTGACTTGAGGGTGGCAATTTTAACCGAACTCTCACCGTGCACTTTTGAAAAGGGCGCTCCACACGCCACCAAATACTCGTATGTATGAATGTGTGTGCATAGGTCTATCATAGATCATACAATATTATATATATGTGTATGTAAATGCGGCCGATCGCTGATATCTACGTGAATACCGTTAAGAAAATTATCAATTTCGAAAATGCAGTTATTTTAGTGCGACAAGTTAAAAACACATTTGAATACCATTAGGATGATCTAATTTTGGGAAATATATCTATCGGTATCTTCGGCACAACTGTTGAAAAATTCATCCTCCACGATCACATCTGATCACCAAATGGCTTGAGGCTGATCGACAACGCCGGGGCCCGAAATATGGTTGTGTGTAGTACTAGATTCCAGCACCAGCGAGTTCACCAAGCTAACTGACTGTCTCCAGATCGAAAAACTCACAACCATATCGATCATGTTCTGATAGACGGACGACATGTCTTCAGCGCTCTAGATGTGTGTACGTACAGAGGCCCTAAAATCGTCTCGGATCGCTGTTTTGCCACAGCGTATATAAGCACCTGCCTCTGTGGGTCAAAGAAGTGCCGTCAACAAACACAAATAGGTTCGACAACCGAACGATTTGCCACTCGACTTGCAACCCTGCTTTTGGCAGCATTCACTAGAAACTCAATATAGGAAAATGTGGAACTCCCGACGTACCGCCGCTACGGAAGTAATTAATTTTTGGCAGTGGCAGAAAAAGAGCTAGTACTATGAGCAATGTCGAACTGCAGTGGAGAGAAAACAGACTGCCTAACTCGCAACATTGCGATCGATCACAACACGTGCAGGATAGGATAGTTACCGAGAGGTGAAGAAAGAAGCAAAACGCATTTGCTGGGAAACACATAAAGAGACCGAAATGCTCGAAAGCTCTATGTAAGGATACGGCGACTTATAAAAGATTTCAAGAGTTAAGCAAGCTCTTGTAGGTCCCAGAAAGGAGATCTAGGGACGGAATTTATGGAGGGTACAATTCTCCAACCTGCTGAACGGCAGTGAAAATGAAACACCAGCAGAAGGCGAACACGATTCACCAATCGACGACGATAGAAGAAATGTTTCATTGCCTGATCATGAAGCAGTTCGAATAGCAATCGCCCGCTAAAAAACAACAAAGCTACTAGAGCTGACGGCCTACCGGCAGAGCTATTCAAACATTACGGTAAAGAGCTGACAATTTAATTTTCCACATTGCCTGAACATTTTGTCAATTATTAAATTCATTTATTGTTATAATCGATAAACTTGAAATCGGATTATTCAACAAATGCTATGTAAAATTTGTTACACAATTTAAATTACAAACTATTGCATTATTATTGTAGTTTATTATTGTTTACACTATAGAATTGATTGAAGATATTGTGGGTTTATTGAAAATACTTGTTAGGCACGAAAATCACAGTACGAATATAATTGCAATCGGAGAGCAATTGCTTACACACGTACGTACCTGAATAACATGAACTCGAAAATTTTGAAATTACTTTCACTCTATCTCTAAATTGGTTATGTATATATATATTCGACTAATACTAATTACCGAAGCACTTTTGCCACTCTAATTTAGGTATGAATTCTGAACCGACTCTTCAGGTGTCGAAAAATGTTGCCCTCTTAGTTTATTTTTTACGTACGAGAATGAAAAGAAGTCATTTGAAACCAAGTCAGAACTACACGGTGGACGGACTCGTCAAATCATAATTTTGAATGTTCAAAAATACAGTTGTCTCCGTCGATGTGCGACAGCATTGTCGTGGTGAAGAGTGATCAGCCTCTAATTTCTTGAAAGACAACTGCCAAACAAATGCTTGTGGGCACTCAGAATTTAACTAGTTTTACCAAAAATTAAAACCGGGTTCTTCTTTAAACACCCATTTAGTCGACTGCTTTTTACTTTCGAGCACAAATTTATGTATGAACAAATTCACGATACATCATCTCTCCACCAATCCACCAGCCTTTGTTTGGGTGATTCCCAAATTGTGTGGGATCCCACGGGTACAAAGTTTTTTATCGTCAAATTCTCATGCAATAATTGAATATATGCTGGCTCCACTAATGCCTATAGCTATCTTAATCTCACGTAAGGTCACATGACGATCTGGCAATATCGTTTTCCGCAATGAATCAAAATTTTTCGAAACACAACGGGACAACCTAAACGAAATTCTTCATGAAGTGATCTACGAGCTCGATTGAATTCATCGTACCATTGATAAGCCCTGGTTCTTATAGGAGTTTTACAGGGAGGTGATTGGGCTCATTAGGATCGTGGTGTGTTCACTAGACAACTAGACGATCCAAAGTTAACCAAGCAACATAATCGGTAAAGAAAACTAAAATATGGAAAAACCCGTGTATCGGGCGTTACAAAGGTCGCTAGCAAGCAAGAAAAAAACAATTTCTACCATAATAAATAAAGGCATCATTGCTTGTCGGCGTCGCTTGTTGGGTAAAAACCATAATTTACTTTGCCCCTTGCTTATTTAAACCAAGAAGAAAATTCCTTGAAGACGAGACGTTACCGGGTAGGAAGATCGAGCTGAAGAAATTCTACATTACGATCATCAATCGTTTTTGAAATCCTGAAAATAGAAGCACAGTAATAATTGGGAATGACCTTTCAGAGCCGCTCGGTATCTAACGAAATTTATCGTGTGATTTCTTCAATTTGATGCTGGGAAAATAATAAGACGAAATATTTTCAGTCATCAAACAAACTGTCGGCGCATTCACAGCTTGGCTGCCACGTCACTGTCGACAGTCATAACTACGAGGTCGTAGCTAATTTCCTTTATCTAGGGACCAATATTAATACCAATAATGTCAACCCTAAATCCAACGCAGAATCACTCTTGTCAGCAGGTGCTACTTTGGACTGAGTAGACAATTGAAAAAGTACTCTCTCGGTGAACCAAAATTCTCGAAACAAACTCTACAAGTCATTCAGCAATCCCGTTCTGCTATATGATGATGAAGCTTTAGAGGATGTCGACATCCGATGAGTTAGCCCTGGAAGCCTTCCAGAGCTCGCGAACGATTTATGGTTTTCTACGAGTTGAGCACGACGGTCACTGCAGATGATGAAACGATGAGCTCTACGAGTTATACTGCAACATTAACATGGTTCAGTGAATGAAGAGAACGCGGCTATGCTGGCTAGGTCTTGTTACCCGAATGAATAAATGTGCAGTAACCGCCGGTGAAAGCTGAGAAAGAGAATGGAAGGATCAGATCACATCTCACATCAATTGTTGCCAAACAGCTTGTGGACAGAATAAATAGCGCGTTATTGTTGATTCGCCTGTAATCGGGTGAACCGTGAAGAACATTTAAAGATGATTTGAATTTCTGAACGTCATACGAAAATCTAATATTTTTATGTTTAGTTTTCTTCAATGCAAGCTCCAATATCAGCAGCTTGCGTGTAACTGTTACCCCTGTTTTGTTCCTCTATTTTTCATATACACTTATATACTACGCTATTGTCTATTCGATTTTCCAGTCTATAATTTTTGCCCGATTGACACACATGCGATTCTCAAACGCACGACATCTACGTCACGCCGATCAGCGCCAATAAGCGTACAAGCTCTGTCGTAGGTGGGCTAATTGCAAGTGCTTTTGAGTATGTGTTGACATTCAAATTAATAACGAAAGTACGTGGTTGAATACCTATTATTGATAATATGATTACCAAGCTAAATTTGATGTATTGAAAAACACAACTGTTTTCAAAATCAGCAAGCAAAAAGCCTAAGCGAAAGACACCTCAAAGCAACAGACAGACAGACCGACGGGCATGACCAGATCTACTCATCTTTTCCTTCCAATCAAATCTAAATAAATTTTGATCGAAATGGCTCTTCTCCTGCTGGTACTTACATACTTTAAGACAAAGAAGAGATAACGTTTCCTTTTGCCAAGATAAGTTCACCGTGTAGAAAAGGGTGCTTGCTTTTGAAAAGCAGACGCGTTCCGTTTTCATTGATATCGTCACATGATAAGTTCGCGGCTTTATACCATTGAAAAAAATATTCTTGAGATTTGTCTTCAAAATGTCGTCTGAAAATCTACGTCGCTGTAACTCCTTTTTAAATTTAAAACGTAATTAAGCACTCTGTGCGCTAACTTACCACGTCCCCTCTGCCACATCTCGACTGCCTCACGCGCTTGACTCAAAAAGTTGGCGTAACACTGGCCTTTCATTGTAGTTGCCTTCGGCAAGCAATCAACTCATAATATTACCTCGCTATACCAGAAAATAGTAGCTGTAATCTTCCACGCCGACTTTTCCACCTTGAATTTTTTCGGTGATCTTTTCCCTCTTTTATCTACTTTATCGGTAACTGTTTGCGCTCGGGATCATACTAACGAAGAATCCAAATTTCATCAAGCGTTCAAAACCGGTTGCAAGTTTTCAACCAAATCATCTTGGCACAGCTCCTATCGTCGCTGCTTGACGTTCAAATTTTTTCATATCCAAATATTCATGCAAAATCTCTCCAGCTCGTTCTTTATTCATCTAAAATCCTTTCACTATCTGCCACAATTTAATTCTTCGATCCGCCAGTGCTAATTTTTAGACTTTCTGAACTTTTTCTTCGATCACAACCATCACTGGGCGCTCCGGGCCCAGGCTGGGGTCATCTTCACAGGCTTCTCTTCTTTGTTGAAACAGCAGAGGCCATTTTTTCACCATCGTATATAAAGCGGCAGAGTCCTGAAGAACCGATAACATCTCTTTTTTTTACAAGTGATTTCAATCACAGCGCAGTGCTCCTAATGTCGAAAATTTACCGTTTCCATTGACATATTGTTGCTGTTTGTTCCAGTAACGAAATTTTAATGAACTTAATAAAAAACAAGTTGTGATTTTTATACTAATTATGAATGCCGTAATTAGTATTATTAGTAATGAGACGTTATGTCATCTCTAACTACCTTAGGCCGCGAAAAATCAGCCGCCCGTCGTATATCCGTCGAGTGGTCGCCATTAAGTCCGTACCGTGCATGTTAATTTTGACTGTGTGTGGTCCGCAGCGCGTGGCGTTTATTTTGTTTTGAACTTAATTAATTGAGGAATGATTCCTAAAAGTATGCTACAGAACAAAATTTTAAAGTGTCATTTAATAACCCAGCAGGCAAAATTACACCTTCGAGTTAGCATGGATATGAAAAATTAAATTTCATTTAATCAGATCTGTGAAAAAACTATCTGATGGACAATCTCAGTTTTTTATAAATAAAAACAAAGAAAGGCTAAAAAATTCAACAAACGAAATATTGATAATTTCAAATTTATTATCAAATATTATTGGAATTAAACCTCACTAAGCAACGAAGAGTATAAATCTATAAACTTTTCCTACTCAAATGAGAAATTGTTTAGCCAAGGAGGAAGGTCCAACATCCAAAATTATAGAAAATAAATTTTTTTTTTAATTGCGGTCGTAAACTCCGAGCGGGCGCTCCTCATAAAAATCCATCGGCTATTCATAGTCGGCTTTTCCATTTGATGTAAAAAAATATCAAGACATATGCCACAATTTAAAGGGGGAGCTCGGCCGAAATTCGCTTCAGCGGTTATAAAGTGGAAGAATAAATACGCGTGGCGATTATGGTTAAAGATTAGACTCAAGGGTAGTATTAATTGGTCATTTGCCTTTACATTACACATGTACAGCTTAGACTATTTTAAAAAATTATTTTTCTATATACAATATATTGTTTTATCTTCTATTTACTGTTCACACAATTGCTTTTCATGTCTATATACGTCAACGCAGACTATGAGTGTGGAACAAGTATTTGGATAAACTGCAATTAAGTTTAGATTTGCGTTGCATCTTTGATGTCAAATTCAAATATGATATATGTACCTATGTATATGTACACATGCACCAGGTAGGAAATAAGTTAGTTTCAGTGTTTCAAACTGTAGAGTTTTTAGGCACCAGTTTTTTCTATGATACATAATTTTAAAGCTCGTTTCATTCTCCCTACGCAGTCGGCTTCATAGCTATGTGACAAAAACCCGCTTTGGTCCTTTTGGTGCCGTGAAATAAATGAAAAAAAATGTTTATATATGCTATTTGTATTTTATTTAATACTTGAGTTGGCTGCGACTTCGTCCGCATGGAATTTAGAGATGGTTCTGGTAAAATTTTATGTTGGGTTTATTCGAATTAAAATCCCGAACTCTTCAAACAGCTCATTACTGATCCACTTCTCGGAAATAATGGTTCCCATATATTAATCTAGGAAAAAGTGCAGTTTATGTTCTCCGATAAGAGGTGTTATTTTGATATTCAAAGAAAAATGGCATTTTTTGAGATAAACGATTGGATGGTTATTTCAATGTAAAGAGGAAGATATGACATAAATAATAGAAAACATGATCAACCAAATGTCCGCCACGGCTACGCTTACAGAACTGTATCCCTTTTATGAAACTTTCCATCACCAAATTGCAGAGTGACTGCTGTATACCCTCCACAGCTTTACGAATTTCATCTTTGAGGTCTTGAATCGAACTTGGCATGTCGACGGAGACCTTATCTCTTTCACATGGTCCCAAAGTAAGAAGTCGCAAGCGGTTAAATCACAAGATATTGTTGGCCAATTTAGAATATCTCTTCGAGAGATAACACGGCCTGGATCGTATACTATTCAATTCCGGTCAAAAAAAAAATCATTAATCATCTCTCGATAGCTCGAATCATAAATCTCGTTTGTCTGAAGAAATCGTTAACCATATGTGAGTCGAGGCAAAGTGGTATCTCTGAACCGAATTTCGTGTAAATCGAATGAATCAAATAAATTTAATTAGTAGTTCATCTGTAGGTGTCATTAAGGCCCAAATAAAAGTTTATAAAAAAAAGAATAAGCAAATATGGAAAGGAGAAATTAACTCTTGAATTAGCATAACTGCCTATAACCTTAGTACGCTGTCAACTTAACTAAGAACATACATTTTTGTATAGAGATATACAAATCATCCGTACTAAATGAATATGGCAGCAACATATTTCAGTCACCAGACACGTTTAGTGCAAAAAATTCCGAAGAGAAATTTTTGTATCATGATTTTTTCACTGCTGTCAGAGCCAGCTTCACTCAAGTCGGAAGTAGTTTTCAACTCATATATTTTGCTTTTGTGCTTCTCTGCTGGGTTTAAAATCTAAAAAGCATTCTCTGGATAAACCGAGGAGATTTATGGCGCCATTAACTCGTGACAAAATGACCATGTTTTGGCAAAATAATCTAATCGTACCAAAAGGTCTTTCACTCTAATTAATTTGTTTCGAAAAATAATTTAACAAAATGCAACATATTTATTTACACGGTTGTTAACTGGAATTATTGTAGCCAAGTGCATTAATAGCAAAGCCAAAAAATCCCTAATAATATCATATTCAATTAAACAACTCAAATATAAATTCTACGAAAACCAATGGAAATATTTACTTTGCTGCGTTGCCCTCATAAAAGAGTGTGAAAGCTCCCGCTTGTTGGCGAATTTAATTCCCTCCTTTAATAAATTAAAACTGCAATTGCCTTTCTCTTCGCCTAAAAAAATATCTATCGCCCTCGATTTGTAATCTGAATGCGTAAAGAAAGCGTTGCAGGCAGCCGTAAAAAATTAGCCGCTTATTTACTGCTGTCATAAAAGTGAGTTTGCACAGTGATTTAAATAGATAATATCTTTTCAAATACAAATCCCACTCAGGCAGCGAAAATGCAAAGAAGAATTCATTTGACCATTAAAACTGCATTTGCTGAAGCTGACAAAATTTGTTCCAAGCCGGCAATAGGAAAGGATGCAAGACGCTGTGCGCGTGAAGGCTCAAATTGTATTGTAAAATAATTCTGAAATTTCATAAAATATTAACGTTTGCTTTAACTTCGAAACTGACCTATATACAATGGACTTCGATGCAGTTTTAGAAAAATGTGGGAATTTCGGTCGCTATCAATTCGTACTGTTGCTTTTGTATGGTTGCACAAATATTCTGTCGTCGATGCACTACTTTGCGCAAACCATCATTAGCTTTACTCCAGAGCATTGGTAAGTTAAAGTAAATATTTGCAGCAAATTTTTGAAATGGAAGTAGTAGCTTATTGTGTTACAAGCAAGTGTATAGTGCATTCGATGACACTTTTGAAAAATTTTTTTTAAACATTTCAATGTAAAAAGTACGCCTCACGCTTCAGCAACGCATTTAAAACATTAAAAATCACTATTAAAAATGGTAAAAATCTGGCGAAGACGGTTCGTGAAACTAAAACATTTTTCGGTCGACGTAAAGCACCTCGCTCAAGATATGTACACGTACGTCGAATATGTGCTTGAAACAGCAAGTAATGACCGAAGATTTTTCGAACAAAATTTTCATCATCAACATCACTCATGGAATACATATACAAGCAAAATTATCTCACCTTGGGCTCTGAGCATCCTCAAATGCTTGGTGAGAGGCCAAAAAAAAACCTACTTACTATCTGGTGCTCTCTTTGATCCGAAGGTGTGACCAGATTTTACTTCTTTGAAAACGACATTGGCGAGGCAATTCGGAGCGTTATGGTCGTACAATAACCATATTTTTTTGGCCTGCAATTACAGAACACAACTTAGACAACATAAGGTCTCAACATGAAGGTGCCACATGCCACATAACAAAAGCGAATACGGCTTTATGGCGAGTGAAATTTCTCAGTCGCTTACTCTCTCTACTTGGAGATGTCAATGATCGTTGGTGCACGTGCAATTTGGCTATTTCTTAATGCGAATAAACCTTTATGTGACTTGAAAATCAAGTACGGACTGAGTTACCGACTAATATATGCAAAAAAGTGAACGAATCTCACCTCGAACCGTTCAAAGTTTGCAAAAATTCGCTTGGCGATCATTTGAGTGATTTAGTGCTTCACACTTTATAATAAAAAAGTGGTTCCATGAATAAAACAATTATTTTAACATAATTATTTTAATCTTCGAAACCGCAAACCGGATAACACTGTATAATTATCTGGGGCTCAATGAGAATCTAATGGTTCCAAACAGTTCTTTTTTCGAACTTTAGCTCTTAGGTAATCGACGCAGTGTCAGTGTAATTTACTACGAGCTCTTAAAACCGGATGAAACCATCACAGGAGATCGCTACCGAACGCAACTGATGCGCCTTAGTCGCGCGCTAAAAGAAAAATATCAAGAGCGACATGACAAAGTCATCCTCCAACACGACAATGCTCGGCCTCACGTCGCAAAAGTGATCAGAAAGTACCTGGAAACGCTGAAATGGGAAGTTTTGTCCCACCCGCCGTATTACCCAGATGTCGCCCCTTCTGACTTCCTCCTATTCCGTTCGATGGCACACGGCCTGGCAGATCAACATTTTCAATCCTTCGAAGAATTGGAAAAATGGATTGCTTCTTGGATAGCGTCAAAATAGGACTCCTTTTTTCGAGCCGGGATCCGGAAATTGCCGGAAAGATGGGAGAAAGTTGTCGCTAGCGACGGACAATACTTTGAATAATATGTAATATCTGTAAGCACTTTTTCGCAAGAAAACTTTTAATATTGGAAAAAAGCAGCGGAAGCAAAGTTGTACACCTGATAATTCTGCAATTAGTACAAAATCTATGTCTACTATAGTAGAGTCTTGGCTAGGAAAATTTGTGTCTTTTCTAGTTTTAAGTTACTTATTGCTACCAATCCTGTGTGATTTAGATCGTAATTTAAAACCGTAAGAGTTGCAAACTTCCTGAGTAGCGTAATGCCATACTCATGGCTTAACCCTCTTGCGCATTTGAACTAAGTCGGTTAACTGGAATGAGTAACCAGAAGAAGAAGGTTTCTTTCCAAAGAAAATGTAAATATGTGAACAGAATTAAAAAAGCCTCCTTGTCGTTTATCACTGACATTAGCATACTTGCCAGATGACTGGCTGGTGATAAGAATGTTGACAGGGGACGCTGTGTCGATCTTCAATGCATAGAGCCAGAGAGCGACATAAGTTCACAGTCCGCGAAAAGTAATATTACAAATGCGAAGAGAAGCTCAGCCGAAAATATCTTCAATTGCTATAAAGTGTCAATAACAAACATATTTTGCTTTGAATTTTATTTTATTTTTCATTTAGGTGCTATCACGAAAAACTGGCAAACACCACCATTTCTTATATACGAAGCATTTACGCACAGACCTCGGATTCTCAATGCACGCTGCTGGAAGATATTGTTGACGATCGGCCCGTCATATCGGAGCTGGGAAAATGCACAAAATGGATATATGACTATGATCGGAACTACCGCAGCATAACCACTGATGTAAGTGCTAGTGAAGGCGACATAAAGGGTGATTTTTTTTAGCTATTATCTTTTTGGCAACACTGGTTTAAACATCTTCAGTTTGGTCTACAATTTAACCATGAATCGTCTTACATACGAACAACGCTTGCAAATTATTGAGTTTTATTAACAAAATGCGTGCTCTGTTAAGAAAGTTCGTCGCGTGCTTCTTTCATTTTATGGTCAGTTTAATAGACCCACTGGAGCGAAGATTAGCCAGAAGCATTGCAGGAGCTACCAAACCAGGAAAGTCACAGTTTGGTACGGTTTAAGGGGTTGGTGGCATCATTGGACCGTACTTCTTCAAGGATGATGCGAGTCGCAACGTAACTGTGAACGATGAGCGCTATCGTGAGATGACATCAAACTTCTTTTTGCCCAAAATGCAAGAGCTTGACTTCCATGACATGTGGTTTCGACACCGTCTTGTGCCACAAGAAACACAGCTCGTGCACTAATGGACTTATTGAGAGGCGAGTTCGGCGAACATTTAATTTCACGTTCGGTACCGGTTAATTGGCCATCTAGATCGTGCGATTTAACGCCTTTAGGCTTTTGTTGTGGGTTGTTAAATCTAATGCCTATACAGACAAGTCCGCTTCAATTGATGCATTGGAGTACGACACTGAAGCATTTAATCGTGAGATGCTGGCCGAAATGTTAGAAAGAGTATGCCAAAATTGCACTAAGCAGTCAACATTTGCCTGAAGTAATCTTCAAACATGGACCGTACTATCGATTCAAATAAAGATTTTATGAATTTTTTGAATTTTATGTATTTTTTTTTAACTTTCCTATAGCGATTAAAAAATCACCCTTTATTTATTTATTTGTTTATTTATCATATATAAATGTATTCTATTGTATAAAAATAAATATGTATTTTCATTTAATTTTTAGCTGAAATGGGTTTGCGAAGATGCCTTCCAAGTTGCTGTTGGTCAATCACTTTTCTTCTTGGGCTCAATCGTTGGCACAATCTTCTTCGGTTTTTTGGCTGATAAAATTGGACGCTTGCCTGCGTTGATTTGCACAACACTGGCCGGCGCCTTTGGTGATTTTTTGACATCCTTCGTAAGCTCTTTGCCGGCCTTTGCACTCTTCCGTTTTGTTTCGGGCTTATCGAATGATACGATCTTCTATCTAATGTATATAATGGGTCAGTTGGAAAAGGTTACATAAAATTAAACACTTATAAAATTGTATCTTCTTCTCCTCTACAGTTTTTGAATACTTAAGTCCGAAGAAGCGCACATTCGGTCTCAATATTGTAACCGCCTTTTTCTACTGTTTCGGCTTGATAATGTCACCTTGGTATGCCATTTGGGTTGGCTCGTGGCGCTATTACCTCTATATCGCCTCACTGCCTGCTTTAGTGGTGCTCCTCTATCCGGTTTTCATTTGTGAAAGTGCCCAGTGGTTAATAGCGACTGAGCGTTATGATCGTGCCGTGAATTGTTTGAAACGTGTTGCCAAATTCAATGGGCGTAAGGTTGACGAGGAGGTATTTACACAATTTCGTGCATATTATGAGGAAAAAATGGCGGCGGACAAGAAATTTAAAACAAATCAGGACACATTTTGGAACATGTTTCGTACGCCGAGATTGCGAAAATTCACCATTATTTTATTGATAAAGTCGTAAGTGAGAACTGTATTGATTTCTAATAGATTAGGAAAATAAAATTATAAAATTTATCTTAACAGCATGATAATCACCATCTCGTTTGACGTGGTCAGTCGCAATATGGAAGGTTTGGGCTCATCACCGTTCACACTGTTCTCATTGACCTCCATCGCTTACATCCCAGGTGGTCTGACAATAATCTTACTGCAAAATCGCATAGGTCGCAAGGGCATGGCTTTCGGTTCGCTCTTCGTTAGTGCCATTATAGTAACAGTTACTGGCTTCCTGATCGCTTTTCTGGATCGTGACCAACATGCTACGCTGCTGGCAATTATGGTTGGTCTGGGTCGCTATGGTGTGATTGTGAGTTATGATGCGGAAGCACAATATGCTGCTGAATTCATACCGACCACTGTACGTGGACGAGGTCTGGCTAATATCCATGTGATTGGCTATGGTTTTGCGATGCTCAGTTCGTATGTCATATACTTGGGTCGCTACTTCAAGCCGTTACCGTCGATTGTTATCGCTGTGGTAATGATGTGTGGCGCGCTGCTGTGTCTAGCTTTGCCGGAGACCTTAAATCAGTGAGCACATTGCACAATGTCCATTCGAATATTGCTTAATTTATTAAAATTTTGTTTGTATTCTTAGAAAACTACCCGAGACTTTGAAAGATGGTGAGGAGTTTGCGAGACATCAACGCTGGTACTATTTTCCATGTTTCGACCGACTGCAAAAGAATCAAGTTTCTGATATCGAAAATACGAATACTCAGTAGTTAATTGATATTATTTTTAATTAAATAAAAGCTTAAATTTTGTTAAAAAAATTATTTATGCCTTACATGTCTTTTCTGAGGAAACTGAAATGTGCTTTTCGGTGCCTTTGGAATACTAAGAGGTCTTTGGATCGGCTTAGATACTAGCACTTACGCTCTAATCGCATAATCGTCTTCGCTGCGCCAGTTCTTCGAGATCGTGCGGGGCAATTGCTATTTGGACTTCGTCGTAGTCGGATAATGGAACCTTTCTTCCACCAAAAATTCAGGCTCACCATTTCCTGTAAAAACTCAGTATTTTTGAATCCGCCGCCAGATCCGATTTGAAATCGAATGGAATTTCTTAGCATTATGCCTGTCTGTCAACTTTTCAAGAACTTCATACTCACGCATTTCTGCCTGCAAATGCGTTTCTTCAGTCGATCGGTCGACCGGAGGATTGTGAGTAAGGTAGCCTTTCTTCACTCCACTGCTGTAAGGCAATCGTCTTTGTACCAGTGCTTCTTTCGGCCTGGCCGAAAACAGATCTTTTGATTCGCTGCTTTATGTAGGAAGCTTGAAATTTCGTCCGACAGTTCCCTTATATCAAGCTGCTCATGAATGGTCTCAGAAGCACGGAAACCTACTTAAGGGCTCAAAACCACAATCCGCGACAGTCTAAAAACTTAAACGCAATATGCAATTCCTATCGATCTCGGGATTAAGTGCCTAACAGTGGCAGATAAACTACGCAAAAATTACTCATTAAGGTTATCTAACCATCCAAACTTACTAGGTAAAGGTTTATTACAGCAGAACTGCCACAAGTGGTTAAAGAGAAAGTACGAGTATAAGGCCCTGAGAAAGGTAATGCTCGAAAATTCTACAAAAAAAATACCTCGACTTACAGAGGATTTGAAGACCGGAGCTAACTCTTCCAGAACACAAAAAGCTGATCTAGTAAATGATGCCCAAAGTAAACCGAATTTATGCGGGGATCACTTCTCCAGCCTGCAGTTGGCAATGAAAGTGTAACACCAGCAGAGGGCGAACCTGATTCACCAATCGATGACGATGGAAGAAATGATTTATTGTCCGACTATGGAACAGTTCGAATAGCACTCGTCCGCTTGAAAGGCAACAAAGCGGTCGATGGATTACCGTCCGAGCTAATCAAATAGGGCGGTAAAGAGCTGACAAGGTACATGCATCGGCTTCTCTGCAAAATTTGGTCGAATGAAAGCATGATCGACGTTTGGAATTTAAGTGTGTTCTGCCTAATCCATGAAAAGGACCTCACGGTATGTGCCAAATACCATGAAATTATTCCTCTCAAATATCGCATATAAGGAGTTATGGCCTTACCTTCAACCATCAACCTTATGTTCACCATGCGACAAATTTTAGAAGAATCACCTTTTAATCGATTTAAAATCTGCCTTTGACAGTAGAGTAAGGAGAGTAAGGAGCTGCCTCTACGCCGCTATGTCTGAATTTAGATGACCGCAAAACTCATACCTTAAAAGTAAAGTTCTCTATCGACGAACCAAAGCCAAACCCTACCCAGCAGCCTGGACGATGTCGATACCCGATGAGTCGGCTCTGAAAGTTGTCAAGTGGCGAATGCCGCTGAAAAGACAGCGCCTACTTTGGCTAGGTCACGTCCTACGTATGAATAATGGAAGCAGAGGAAGTGGCAGACCTCCACTTCGTTGGAAGGAGAGAAATTTGGTTTCACTTGGTATGACCCATTGGCGTCCAACAGCGAAGCGAAGGAACCAATGGCGCGCGGTTGCCCATATCAATGGAGAAGAAGAAAAATTTATTTTACCATACTTTCTTTGTTAATCGATAAAGTGTTTTGTATGACAGTTAGTTTTAAGGTCTTCAAAATTTTTGTTATTTTCTAAACAGAAAGATTCTATAAAAATCTATGAAAAAAAATTTAGAACCACTAACCACTTTTGACGTGGTGATGTTACACTGTAGAAATGGGAAGGCAGCTTGACTGTCGGAATATATCTCACCATGCCTTTGCTCTTTTCCCCATTGCAAAAGCTCTTTCTTTGCAATTGACTTTAATTTTAAATAATTAAAATATTTGCCTCTTACGCATATGAATATTTATTCCATATAAATTGCCAACGAGTTGCTTGCCTTTGCAAAGACAACTGACGTTGGTTTTTTTTTTATTGCAAATGGAAATCAATTGACTATTAAATAACTCAACACAACAGATGAATATGTTTGTTTGTAAACAATTAGATAAACTTTCCTTATTTAATGTTCATAAATATACGAAAAATACGAAGAAAGAAGAATTCCCTTCCCTTAAGTTAAAATTAAAAGTCTTTCGTATATTAGCCAAGGCGAAGGGCTTTCTTTGTTTTAATTCTCAAGCTAACCGGATCATAAATATAATTCTTTCGTATAGATCGGTCCCAAAAAAAAATTCTCCATGCATTGACGTAGGTAAAGAACCTTTTATGTATGTATGTTCCATATATTAAGCAAAACTGGATCATCGGTCCACTTCCCAGAAGTATATGTAGTTGTCATATGCAACTTGATCTAACCTGTAGGGGTCTCATATGACAACTGCGTATACGCAAGGCAATGACTGACGATTATCGAACCAGCAGTCACCGCTCAATCAATCAATTGTTCACCTTTTGCATTACTTCTCGCTAGGCCTAGTTCGCTAGCACCAGTAAAGCGTGAAAATGTAAACAGAAACTCACAAAATTTTAGGTGCTCATTGAGAAATTCCAAACACCAAAAGATGATTGTCAATTAATAGGCGAAATTGTACATTATCAGGAGACAGTACAATTGGACGCTATGCATTACCAAGGAATGAAATCGCTATAGATTTTGCCTAAAGATTGGCTACTAGCAGTACTGCGGGCTAACGTCAACTATCAACTACATAACATAACAGGGACGGCTGATTTTAAAAAAAGCAAGTACGCCGAAAGAAATTTTTGAAGAGATGTCATCGGTTCTTCAGGACTCTGCCGCTTTATATACGATGGTGAAAAAATGGTTTCGGCTGTTTCAACAAAGAAGAGAGAGCTGTGAAGATGTCCCCAGCCTGGGTCCGGAGCGCCCAGTGATGGTTGTGATCGAAGAAAATGTTCAGAAAGTCGAAAAATTAGCACTGGCTGATCATAGAACTAAATTGTGACAGATAGCGGAAGGATTTCAGATTAATAAAGAACGAGCTGCAGAGATTTTGCATGAATATTTGAATACGAAAAAATGTAAATGACAAGCAGCGACGATAGTGGCTGTGCCAAGATGAATTGGTTGAAATTTGCAACCTGTTTTGAGCACTTGATGAAATCTGGTTTCTTCCTTAGTATGATCTCGAGCGCAAACAGTTGCCGATGCAGTGGATAAAAAAGGTGAAAGGCCACCAAAAAAATTCAAGGTGGAAAAGTCGGCGTCGAAGATTACAGCTACCATTTTCTGGTATAGCGAGGGAATATTATGAGTTGATTACTTGCCAAAGGCAACTACAATGAAAGGCCAGTGTTACGCCAACTTTTTGAGTCAAGCGCGTGAGAAGAGATGTGACCAGCTAGTTCGCGGAGTGCTCTTTCTTCAACATATTCTTTCACACCGCTCGGAACGCGAGGGCTGACTTAAAAACTACACGATTTACAGAAATTGACCATCCATCCTACAGTCCGGGCCTGACTTCGAGTGACTTTTTCCTTTTATCAAATTTAAAAAGGAATTAAGCGGGAGGAAGATTTTCAGACGACAGTAAGGTGTGGCCGTGGAAAACCATTCTAAAGAATATGTATCAATGGTATAAAGATGTTGTATTCACAATGTGAAAAGTGCATTTCACATGAGGGCGCCTATATTGCAAAGAAAAAAACACAAATATATATATTTGTTTCATTGAGTCTTTTACTTCGCGAACTTATCAGCCGCCTTCCTACATACATATGCCTGCAGATGGCTGTTGCAAAATTTCAGCGCCAATTTTGAATAAATAAAATATTTGAATTGAGCTATTATCCGACAAATAATATCACAAACACTTATGTGCATGCATATATGCATAAATTAAATATAAATAATGTACATACAAATAGGGCAGAATAAGATGAAATATAAAGGACAAAGCAATACTTTCAAGCAATAAGAATAACAGTAATATATCCATAGGAAATCGCTGCTACTCTCTCTCTCTTTCTCTCTCTTTCTCTCTCGCTCTCTCTCGCCTCTTCCAATCCTAGAAAATTAAACAAACAAAATAATAGTGAAAATGTGCTCTATGAATATTCATCGCCAACAAAATTACTTATTTGATGAGCAAACCAGCACACAGTTATTATTGATCGGAGGCGGCATAGCTCTCATAAAAGCTTGCGCGCAAGTTTTGAAAATTTATGTATCTTACGGAAATCTCGAGCATCCGGACGTGCTCATAGTGGTAGTATTGAATTGAAGTGGATGTGTACGCATTTTATTGAAACAAAAAAAAAATAAAATAATAAAAAAAAATATTTTATTAACAAGTTAATAATTCTAACGTGAAAAAAACATAAAAAAATAGTTTAATAAATTATTTAAATTATTAGTGCTGACTTCGTCCATATATTATATTTTTGAGGAAGTGAAAAAAAATTATAGCAACTACGAGTATTTGACCGCTAGAACTTAAAGCTGCCAAGCTTGGAACGTTCCCAGCATGAACAAATGATTATATAAAGATTAGATTTCGACTAATAATAAACCAATTCAACCATTCTAAAAAAATAAGAGTGTTTTAAAGGAATTTTGCGGCGAAATGTGGTAATTTTTAATACTTTTACTTTTGTGCTGAAAGTTTGTGTTAAATCAGCGAATATGTAAATCAACAAATATGATGTCTGTCAGGAGTACAAATCGAATTTGCATTTATGCCACTGAATACAACTTAACACAGCTGGTCTGTCTCCCCTAATACACCAGAGATAGTGTCTAGAAGGGGAACGCAAACATTCACAAAATTAGTTTATGTTGCCACTCAAACATCCATTCAAGATTTAAACAGCGAAAAATATTTTCAAAAATTTAAAAATTACAAAAATTTAAAATTAAAAAATTTCTACATGTGAAAGAGTATTTTGAGTGTTGAACGAAGTAATAGATGGGAATCACTTAGTACGAGGTCCGGATTATAAAGTGGATGCGTATGAATCTCAAAATAAAGCTCTGGGAGTTTCTCGCGAGTCATTGTTGATGTGTGGGGTCTGGCGTTGTCCTGATGAAACAACACAGTCATTCTTTTGGCCAAAGCTCGACGCTTCTGGGCGAAAGTTTCCTTCAGATGGCCGAATTGTTGACAGTACAGATCCGAATTAAAAGTTTGGCCATAGGAGAGCAGCTCATAGTGGATAATTAATTACCAATCCCACCAAAACACACAACAAATCTTCCTGGCAGTCACCACCACCATTTCCATTTGACTTTCTTGCCACCAGTTGTTTTAATTATCTGTTACTATCCACTTCCAAGCTGTTTTGTGTGCAATATTTAGCACTTGGGCAATCGAAACCGTGCTCTCATGAAGGTCGGACTCGACGATTTACTTTTTTTTATCGATATTTTTGACAAATTGGTCTTCCACACCGTGGAGCATTCTTTAAAACCAAAAATTACCGGAACGTAATCTATGAAACTTAAATTGTGCATGATTGACTGTTACAGTATCGGTACTACATTAGGTTAGGTTAAACTGGCTTACCCAACGGTTCTCACCTAGACGATATTATGTACGTCTCTAGTGTGCAGAACATTGGTGTACTCTTCGCAAATTGAATAGTTTTGACCCCTTGGCCATTACCGATTGAAGGTCTCGTAGCCTTTTTTCGTCAAATATTCATAGCCTTTGCCCGCTGAATGCTGGACACTCAAAAATTATGTAAAAAGTGCAGTCTACACACATTTCCAGCGCTTCCTGTACTTGCTGCCCAATCAATCACAAACCTCTAACAGTCCTACCAGCAGTATAAAATCAGGTCTCTTTACTCATAGTAGTAACTTTCTACGTTTAGCGTGATGAGTTTTGTACATAGTTTTAGCGAGTCTGAAGCTCTTGGTTCATTTTACAAGTCTATTAGCCGGGCGAAGAAAGTTTACTTCTTGTATTTGTTTCAATTCTTTTAATAGAATTTATTGATCCATTATTAAGTAATGTTCAAGAAGGATACCTTCCTTCTATATACGTGAAGTTGCCTATAATACCCGTGTGACCTCGTCTTCTTCTTTATTGACGTTGACACCGTCGAATCAATATTAGCGCGCCATTCCTCTCTTCTTTTCGCTGTTTGGCTCCAGTTGGAAACACCAAGTGAAACCAGGTCACTCTCCACCTGATCCTCCCAAACTTAGTGGAAGTCTTTCTCTTCCTACTGCATCGAATACTTTCAAAGGTGGTCCATTCGGACGACATGACCTAGCCAGCAGTGCAGCTGCCTCTTCATTCACTGGACTACGTCAGTAACATCATATGGCTAAACGTTCCATCATCTGCGTATTAGGCGTTGCCAATAGGCAAATGACCATAAATTGTTCATAAAAATTTTTCTCAAAGATTACCAGAGTGGACTCATAAGAAGTTTACATCGTCATTGAGCGACTTGCGGGGTTTGGTTTTCATTCGCCGGGAGAGAACTTTACTTTTCAATTGCCTACTCGGTCTTAAGTCTCTTTGCTGGTGTCCATCTTCGACACGTGCTCAAACACTACTGAGCTAAGTGATCAACACTCATCCCATTATGTTTTTTAATAAAAAGAATATCACCTTTCTAATACCATCTAGCGCTTATCGAGCGCGCGATACAGATCACTAAAACCATGCATACCATATTGCAAAAATAATGGATTACTTTTCACTTATTTAGATTACGGCTTAGTAACCGCTGAAGGGGTTTTTGCTCAACTCCTCCTCCCATTTGTGGTGAGTGTCTTGATGTTTATCTTTTTTTTTTGCCAACAAATGACTTCTTAATATTTATAACCCCTCTTTGTTTAACTACAAAGTACCATGAACAAATAAGCAAGATGTCAACAATCATGTGAAAAGCAAAGCAGACCAACACCTTTGTTTTCAAATGTAGATATGAATAAAGCTTATTAGCCGCAATCTAACAAAATGATCATTATTTAGTTTCATTTATATAATATAAAGTATATGATTTGCGCACAAAAGTATGCAACAAATTTGAAACGCGCCGCATATGTGGCATTTGAAGATAAACATTACTGTTCAAGTGTCATAAACAAGTCATAAACAATAAGTAATAAGTGCCCAGTTATATGCATCATTACAAATAAATTGAAGTATTTTTAATATAAAAAATTTATTAAATATTTTAGTAAAAAAAAAATTATTTTGATTTAAGCAAACATCAAAGCAAATACAGTGCGTAGTAACACAAGTAGGCAGACTCCGGCACACACACACATACAACGCAGCCTGAAAGCTTAACACCAAACACAACTGAATAATGTAACAATATGTGACAATAAAATATTGTTGGTTTTGAGCTTTAAAAAACCCGTAACGAAAACAACAACGCAATTGTCTATTTCCCCTCTCCCATTCAAATAGCAACAAAGTAGCAGAAGATATAGACACGAGTAGGAGTGTGAGAAGTGCGAGCGCCAACGATCAAAACGAAGAACCTTTCAGCCGTCTACATCGGCGAGAATTTTTTTTGTTGTTAGATTGTCGAGCCCACAGCAAATAACCGACGCAGAAGCGCTCGTATAAAAGCCAGTGCAGAAGTTTTGAAAGATTGGGTGCCTAACAGAAATGTAGACGAACTGGACGTGTGTATAGTAGCTGGGTGTGTGCGCAGCGCAAGAGATTGACCGAAATTTCAAGGATAAATACTAACTTTGTGTACAGGAAAAATAAAATAAAATAATAAAAAAAGGAGCAGAAATTATCAAAAAATAAATTACGTAAAAATTTTATTGAAAAAAATAAGCAAACAATTAATTGAGTAAATACAGAAATAAAAAAAATTTGAATTTGACAAAATGGGTCTGCCAGAGATGGATTTTGATGCTGTTTTGAAGAAATGCGGCAACTTTGGACGATTCCAACTTCTTATATTTTTATGCTTTGGTCTAACAAATCTCCTCTCATCGATGCATTATTTTGCACAGACAATAATTAGTTTCACGCCGGAGCATTGGTAAGTGTGAAACATTTGAAACGCATTGAAATGTTAAAAGAAATTAATTGAAAATCTTGCAAAATAAAAAGGAAATATTTGTGTATGGATAAATCAAGCAAAAAGAGTGTTTTGGTTATATAAAAAATATCGGCAGTTTTGTTAACTATATAAAAAATGCTTAGCTTAAATAAACAATTTTTTGCGATATTTATACACGTGATTACTGTTAGTTTAACGTATGTACATAAACTATATAATAACATCTTAGTAGTTATGACTAAATAAGAACTAGCGCCGGGAGGTGGCAAAAAACCACAAAAAATCTGTAATTTTCTTTAAAACTTTATTATTATAAAAATAATTTTCTTTAAAACTTTTTTATTATAAAAATAATTTTCTTTAAAAGTATTTTTTTTTATAAAAATAATTTTCTTTAAAACTATTTTTTTATAAAAATATTTTTCTTTTCTTTAAAAATATTTTTTTTTTATAAAAATAATTTTCTTTAAAAATTTTTTTTATTAAAAAAATAATTATCTTTAAAAAAATGTTTCTTTATAAAAATAATTTTCTTTAAATTTTTTTTTTTATTAAAAAAATAATTGTCTTTAAAAATATTTTTTTTTTATAAAAATAATTTTCGTTAAAAATAATTGTTCTTAGAAAAATTTTTAATAATAGAAAGAAAAAGAAAAAAAGCAAAGTAAATAGTTTTTTATATAAATAAATTTTTTCTTAAAATTTTTGTTTTCATAAAAAGCAAATGTTTAAAACAAGATTTTTTTTAAATAATTTTTTTCTTAATAGTTAAAGAAGAAAAGCAAGTGAATATTTTTTTTAATAATTTTTTCTTCATAAATTTTTTTTCTTGTTGAAAATATTTTTTTATTTCTTATACAAAAAAGCTTTTTAATAAAAAAAATTTTAAAAATTTCTTTTTTAAAAAAGATTTTTATAAAAATAATTTTTAATCAGAATATTTTTATAAAAATAATTTTTTTTTTTTATAAAAATAACTATTTTATTTTTATACTATTTATATTTATACATCTATACCTTCTTCTTAAATAAATATTATTTTCCTTCAATAAAAATAACTAAAGTAAAATATTTATCTAGTCCAAGCATTTTAAACAATTTATGTTAGTTGCTTTCGTCAAAGACTCTCTTCAAATCCAACTGTATAAATAGTAAAAAACATGCATGCATAATAATTATTATTTTAATGATTTTTTTTTTCTTGTCAAGGTGTTACCATGAGAAATTGGCAAATTCTAGTTTTGATGAAATTCGCGCTGTTTATGCACAAACAGAAAACCCGCGCTGCACCCTCCTAGACGACATTGTCGATGGCAAACCGATTGTTGCTGAAGTGGGTAAATGCCGGCAATGGATTTATGAATATGAAAGAGGTTACAAAAGCGTGACCTCTGATGTAAGTATACAGATGTACATAAAGGGTTGCTATTCCGGTGGATGTCACTTTAGTTACACTGTAATTTTGTTGAACTTATGACAAGTGCAAACTACGCCAGTAAAAAAAAATGCATGCAACGACGCATTAAAATTTTTCAAATTCACCATTAAAAAATTTTCATCGAAAAATCATCTTGACTCCGAAAACCTAAGATTTATTATTGAAAAGCCTTACCATTCTCAACGTGTAACTGTTTGGTTCGGTTTATGGTCCAGATTGCGCTAACGAGAGATTATTAAAGTTGTTTGTGGCCGGTGTTAGTGGGTATTGAACTGGACAATGTTTACTTTCCACAAAACGGCGCTATGTGCCACACGAGCCAAATAGCATCTCTTATCACAAAAATATATACGTAAAAGTGTATGTAATCTTACATTCTAGATACAAGATAGTATACGAGGGTATTAAATAGCTTAAGCATCATATGCGCAAAAGGGATCAAGTTAAATTATTTGAAAATTAGATATGACGATAATTTAATAAAGAGGTTACAGCTAAATGATCATTATCTGGTTGGAAACAAATAAATCGCGGTAAATTTTTTTTTTCATCTACTTTAAAGTGATAACAGGGAAAGTTTGTAAAGAGAATTACATGTGCCGTTGCGTCAAATTTAATAAACAAACAAAATAAATTCAAATTCATACTTTATTTCAGCTCAATTGGGTATGCGAAGAATCCATACAATCAGCTATTGGACAATCAGTATTCTTTGTGGGTTCTGTAATCGGCACAGTATTCTTCGGTTATCTTGCTGACAAAATTGGACGACTTCCAGCGTTGATCTTAACTACTTTAACAGGCGCTATGGGTGATTTTCTCACAACATTTGCCACAAATTTACCAATATATGCACTCTTTCGTTTCCTTTCGGGCTTATCCACTGATACATTTTACTATCTCATGTACATAATGGGTGAGGCTGTTGATGGATATTGAATGTGGGATGTGCCAAAATTAACTTAAGAAAACTTAGCCATTGGTCTTCCAGCTCTGATTTCTCATTGAATCATTTAAACATAAAATCCATAAGAATCAAAATATACATACATACAAATTCTGCGTTAGTTTTGGTACACCCTTTAGATAACTTCGAATTTCAAATTTCCATTTTAACACTTAACTTTTTTTTACAGTTTTCGAGTATCTCAGCCCACGAAAGCGTACACTCGGCCTCAACATGGCCACCGGCATATTCTATTTTATTGGTTTGGCTATGGCACCGTGGTTTGCTCTGTGGTCCGGTTCATGGCGCGGTTACCTCTACATCGCTTCGGTACCCGCAGTGCTTGTACTATTATACCCCTTTGTGATATGTGAGAGCGCCCAATGGTTGGTGGCCACCCAACGTTATGATCGTGCAGTGAAATGCCTGAAACATGTTGCTAAAATCAATCGTCGCGAGGTGAAGGAGGAAGTATTTGATGAATTCATCGCTTACTATAAGCAGAAAGCGGCTGATCAACTAGTGCAGAAGAAAACCAAAGATACCTTCTGGGGCATGTTCCGTACACCACGTTTGCGCAAATTCACCATTATGATGCTGATAAAAAAGTTAGTAAAATATTTCATCGCTTCAAATAATCTCTTTTAATAAATTTATTTGATTTCCTCTCTCAAACAGCATGTTCCTGGCACTCGCTCTGGATGTGATCAGCCGCAATATGGAGGGCATGGGCAGCTCACCATTTATACTCTTCTCAGCCACTTCCATTGTTTACGTTTTGGGCAGTGTAACCATCATTCTACTGCAAAATCGTATCGGTCGCAAGGGTATGGCTTTTAGCACGCTCTTCGTTAGCGCAATCATCATCGCTGCTACGGGATTTTTAATCGCTTTTTACGATACCAATGAAAACGCTTTGTTGTTGGCTATCATGGTTGGACTCGGCCGATATGGCGTGGTGGTCAGCTATGAGGCGGAGGCACAGTATTCTTCGGAGTTCATACCGACAACTGTGCGTGCTCGTGGCATGGCCAATATACATGTTGTTGGTTTCGCCTTCACCAGTCTCAATTCGTATGTGATATATTTGGGTTATTTATATAAGCCGCTGCCATCGATATTTATGGCGCTCTTAATGTTTATAGCGTCCATATTATGCTTGTCATTGCCAGAGACTATGAATCAGTAAGTTGGTTGAAATTTAGAAATTTTGTATTCATTTTCATTTTTGATTTTTTTGGATCGTTTTCGCTATAGAAAATTACCACAAACTTTGAAGGATGGTGAAGAATTCGCCCGACACCAGCGTTGGTACAACTTTATATGCTTCGATAAGAATCGGAATATCAAAGAGGTGGAGGCAAAGAATGCTTCCTAATGTGTCTGGGTGTAAAAGGTGTGTGAGTCAGGCGAACATATTGCCTAGAAAAGTGTTTTGCAAATTGTGTATGATATTTATGTTACAAAATAAAGTTTGGACATTTTTATAATCTTCTTTTCGAAAATTATTTGGTGGTGCGGCTGGTGGACGGGAAGGTCAGCCGTTCTTTTTCAACAATTCATTAATGTTTCGAGCAGAAGAAATGATAAGCTTTTTCAAGAAAAGCCGAAAGGTCAGCGACTGTGTATTCTTTCCTTAACCAGCGCTCGGCTCACTTCGACACAGCGGTATTAAGAGGAAACTAACTTAGAGATTCTATAGCACAAATACAGTCATCTCTTCCAGGTCTCTGTTGATGAAGACGTAATGTATGTACATATGTAAGTACTAGAGCTTAATGTTTTGTTCGAACATTTTCGGGCTGCTCGAGCATTTTACCAACGAGTACTCGCACAATCGTTCGTTGCTCATTGCTCGAGTTCACGTGGGAGCCAAGTCGCGAATGCGGTGGCCAGACTTCGTGGCGTAAAGGCAGCTCTTTTTCGTGCTGTCGAAGGCGGCTTTAAAATCGACGAAGAGGCAGTGGGTGTCGATCCCCTTTTCACGGGTCTTTTCCAAGATTTGGCGCATGTTTAATGGTTGACTTACCAGGTCTGAAGCCACACTGATAAGGTCAAATCAGTTTGTAGACCGTGGGCTGCAGTCTTTCACACAATACGCTCGACAGGTCCTTATAGGCGATATTGAGGAGGGAATTTGATTGGGCAAAGTACACTTAAATTCCAATTGCCGGGCATACTTTCGTCCGACCATATTCTGCAAAGTAGCTGATTCATACAACTTGTCAACTGTTCACCGCCATGTTTGAATAGTTCTCAGACAGGCTTTGTTGTATTTTAAGCGAGCGATTGATATTCGAACTTCTTCATGGTCAGGTAATGCAACTTCTTTTCCATCGTCATCGATTGTGGTTTCGGGTTCACCATCTCCGGATTTTCTACTTTCAGTACTATTCAGAAGGTTGGAGAAGTGTTCCCTTCATAAATTCAATATACTCTGGACACCGGCGACTAGATCGCCTCTCTGTGTCCTACAAAAGTCTGATCGGGTCTTAAAACAGAAACCTTCCGTAAGTCGTCGTATAATCTCATAGAATTTTTGAGCATTACCGTTGTCGGCCAGCTTCTCGAGCTCTTGATACTCACGCATCGCGACCTCTTTCTTTTTTTGTCTGCTGATGCGCCTTGCCTCCCTCTTCATCTCTCGGTATTTATCGGGTTGGGATAGACGTGTTGTGGTCGACTACAAGGTTGCGAGGCAATCACAATATGATCGATCTCGTTTTTTTGTTTTTGATCAGGGGACAGTCAAATAGCTTGATGTATTTATTTGTGCTGGAATCTAGTAGTAGTAGACAATCATATTTCGGGCATGTGGGAAGTCAATAAGAATCAACCCGTACAGGCATATTTCTTTGTGAAGTCTGAGTTTTACAACAGTCGTACCAAAGATATTTTCTTTGCCCACTCTGGCATTAAATCCGTACATATACTCTAGACGCTCATAAAAGGCATCTTTGGCCAAATTAAAAAAAGAACAAAATAAAAATAATTTCGATTAATATTTAAGAAAAAATCGATTGAAGTGAGAGTGTAGCTGCCGAACCGAATGTGTTTATTTCTCGACATTCTCAAGGCCTGTGAACGGCCCATCATTGCGTATTTTGTATTCGAATTTTCACCGACTTTCATATAGAGTCCAGCTCACACAACAACTAAAGCCAACGGATCATTCAACACGTTTATTGCGAGAGAAATTTCCTGGTCATCTCTCATTCTGTTGAACTCTTTTTGTGGTACTACGCATATATGATGTAGAGTGTGAGAAATAATATCATTTTTCTAACTTTGTAATAGAAAAGAATTTTTCCTGAAAAACTTATTTCGAATGCATTTTATTTTCGAAATCTCAAAATGGATAACCCATTATTTGAGGTAACAATGACACCAAAAAAGAAAGTAATTATTTAATGTTTTAATGGTCCCGAATTGTACGTTTTACAAGCGAAGCCAAGAGTTTAGTAACGGAAATAATCTTTTAATAATTATATTTAAAAAGTAGACACGAAATCACATAATTATCATGTGCATATGTTAATGAGCTTCCACAAAAGTATAATAATTAATACAAAAGAGTTATTGAAAGCTTTGGTTGAATAAAATTTGTGGTGCTTAATTAAAGACACATCTAGAGTAGTTTTCTTGAAGAAAGTGAAAAAAAGTAAAAACGAAAAATTTTGATCCTCCAACACTATAACTTCGAGTTAGCTTTAAGTCGCAATTGATAAAAGACAAAATTTAGAGCCGTTGAAGGACTAACTATGCATAAATAGCTTGATTTTTTTACTAAGAAAATATGCAGATGATGATATGAAAATACTTGGCCTACAAGTGATACCTGAAAGATGGAAATTGAAAATATAAACCATAAAGTTTTACCTCTAAGCTAACTGCAATATTTTTATAATATCAAATGAAATGCTAAAAATTTCCATTGTTTAATTAGTATTTGGAAGAAATCAAGGAGATCAACAAACATGTGCCATAAAAGACGGTAAGCATAACATTTTAAATATAGATATGAAGATTACTTAAAAATTATCTAACAAATTCTTCATTATTAAGTAAGTCGTTAGTATTTCGCGCGCAAATTCTTCATTTATAACCACAGCGCAGAAATGTATGCAACGAACTTTAAGTGTTCATTGTATTTAACTGCGAGCGATAAGAGAAAAAGCATGAGTAGTTAGAATTTCATTACCAACGATATTCACACAAATAAATTAAGTAAAATTGTATGTAATTACCTTGGCATGTCATTGTTTTTAAAAAAAGAAATACAAACAAACAAGTTCTATGAAATGTGTGTTTATTTGAAACAGTAAATATCTTTACTTGAAAGTGCCTTGAAAGCCATAAAATGAAAGAAAATTTTATATATGAAAATGGATATTTTGTGGTTTCAAAAGTACAAAAGATGTTTTTTTGATATTTTAACTGTTAAACTAAATATGCTTTGTTTTAGTTCAAAGTCAGGCAACAGACCGCTCAACAGTCACAAACGCGTTAAAATTGTTAAAACCAATCACAAAAATGGTGATTCAAACACGGCGACGTTTCGTGTCCAACCATTGAAGCCATCGGTAAAATTTAACGATTTAACATTAACTGTTAATATTTTAATTTCACATTATCTGTTAGGGATTTAGCATAACCTTTTAACGATTTAACAATAAAATATGGTTCAGTTAACACTGCGAAGTCTTAAGGGGGGAGCCTGGTTTAGAACGCTGAAAATTGCATGATATTCGGCACAGTGTTTTAGGTTGCCTTACGTATGAAGTGTTTCAAGTACTTCTGAAATAGGTCATAGATACACAAATCTTGCCAAAAAAATTTACTTTCACTTGATTTGGTACTGTTAAGCAGTAACAATTCGTATTTGTTTGTGGCACTTCTCGCTCGAAGAGTCTATTTTGTGAACAAGATAACATAAAAACGAATACTTTTCTTGTAGCTTAGGAGTTGCGCTTCTATGTGAACCTCAAATATTCAAAGAAATGTATAAAATTATTTATTTTATAACTGTTTATAAAAAATTTTGCGTTTTTCAGAAGAAATTTTGAGATATTTTATTGAAAAAAGTTAAAAAAAAATATTTTTAATTGTGATTTTTAAGGTTCACATAGAAGCCTACACTATTAGCTGTAAAAAAGGTATCACTTATGAAAATGCGTCAATTAGAACTTTTTTAATCGTGTGCACAAAACAGAAAAACAATGTTTTGAAAAAATCGCGTTCAAAGTTCTCGCGCCTGCTTATCAGCCTCCTGAGCGCATTGTCTCTCAGAGGCCATTACTGCGGAACGATTAGGAATTTGACTCTGAAATTTTGTGGAAATATTTCTGAATATGTTTCTAAACGAACGAGACCAATACAAGAAGCATAGACATGAAACTAATTTTGAAACTAATCCGCAAAGATATTACATGGAGTACCTACAGTGGGTTAGATCATGGAGTTATATGAAAGATTACATTCAAACATAAACAAAGATAGACAGCAGCAATATTTTACAATCTTTTTCTTCGATCAAGGTGAAAAAGCAGCCAAAGCGGCTGAAAAAATAAATTTAGTTTATAGGCCCGATACTGTAAACGAAAGTGTTGCACAAAAGTGGTTTTCTAGGTTCCGTTCCGGTAATTTCGAAGTCAAAGATGCAACAGGTTTGGAATCAGCTACTACGCGCTGCTCTCCTATGGCCAAACGTTCAATTCGACCCTCTACTGCCAACAACGGGACCGCTTGAAGGCAGCACTCATCTAGAAGAGGCCGTCTTTGATAAACAAAGGCCGAATGGTGTTTCATCAGGATAATGCCAGGCCACATGCGTCTTTGGTGACGAGCCAGAAGTTCCAGGAGCTCGGATGGGAGCTCCTAATGCACACACCTTATAGTCCGAACCTGACACCAAGTGATTACCAGCTTTTCCTGTCCATGGCGAACACGCTTAATAGTGAGAAGTTGGCCTCAAGAGAGGCCTGTAAAAATTGGCTCTCCGAGTTTTTTGCCAATAGGGACGTAGCCTTCTACGAGAGGGGTAAAGTGTAGGTGACATCTATTTGGCAACAAGTTTACGAACAAAACGGCGCATATTTGACTTAAATCGGACAAATGCACACAAAGTTATCATATTTTGAAAAATCAATAAAAAAAAAACCGAACGAACTTTTTATTTCCCCAATAGAAAAATTAATATCATAAATTTCGATACTGTTTTGAAAAAGTGTGGTAACTGCGGGCGTTTTCAATATCTAATAATGTTATGTTTTAGCATTACAAATCTGTTGTCCTCAATGCATTACTTTTCACAGACAATAATTGCGTTTACACCAAAACACTGGTAAAAAATAAAAATTAAAAATAATTTTGCTCTTACGAAAGAAAAAAAAATAAATAAAATGATAAAAGTGCAAAATGTCACGCAAAGTAAATATGTGAAAATCTTTTAAGTTGCCTTCCACTTCACTGTACTTCCTCCTCAATATTGTCAAATAAGAAAGAAATACAGTTATCTTCTCGTTTCTATTAATATAACATTCAAAAAGATGTTACCATGAGATACTGGCGAATTCTAGTTTTGACCAAATTCACTCTGTTTACACACAAACAAAGACCCCACACTGCACACGCTTAGACGACATTGTCGATGGCAAACCGATTGTTGCTGAGGTAGGTAAATGTCGGCATTGGATTTACGAATATGAAAGTGGTTATAAGAGCGTCACCTCGGATGTAAGTTAAACATTTTCTCTCTTTAATTCGTATTAGGGAAGAAGAAACGAAAGTAAATATGATGTGCGCAACAAAACGAAAACTGTCTTAGATTGACAATTGATCATCATTGCGTTTGGTATGATCTTGGCGCGCCTAAATGTATGCAATGTTTCTTATTTATTTTTTTTTTATAATTTTGGTGTGATACGACTGAAATTCGTTTGAAACATTTTTCCGAAACGTTGAGATTTCGGTAATATTAAATAGCTAACAAATAATATTTTAAAATATTAACCGATAATATTAAGTCGTGAGCAGAAATTGTTAAGTTAATAGAAAATAATATTAAATCGGTTACAGATGATGTTTAATCGATGACAGATTAACAGGTAATGTTAAATTGTTAACAATAAATGTTAAATGACCAACAGAAAATATTAAATCCTTATTTAAGCTTTTGAGGATTCTCTGAGCCTCAAACACCACACCTTTGCTCATTTACGTATAAATTGAGTTTCGTTCCTTAAGAAATTTTTTTTTTTTAAATCGCCTTTACTGACTGTTGATCAAGTACGCGACGTACACGTACATACCGAAATGACCTGGTTTTCATTACAAAAAAAAACATTTGATTTTTCCACTTCCAGCTCAATTGGGTATGCGAAAAGTCAATTCGATCTTCTATTGGACAGTCACACTATTTTATGGGATAAGTTATAGACAGAAAGCTCTTCGGTTATCTTGCTCTTAATTCCGAACTGTACTGTCAGCAATTGAACCGTCGGGAGGGCACAATTGCCCAGATGCGCCCAGCTTTGGCCATCAAACAATACCAGACCACACATATCAATAGAAACTCGCAAGAAGCTCCGAGAGATTGATTGGGAGGTTTTTATATATCCACCTTATAGTACCATCTGTTCTCGTCTATGGTAATTGATTTGGCTGATGAAAAACCGGCGTCAAAGGTTTATCTGAGAGAGTCATAATGGCATTATTTTCAAAGTGCCAAACACTTATCGACTTAAGGCAGTAGGTTGTCTGCTTTAAAGGCTTCAATAAATCATTTTTTTTTTTAATCTATGCAAGAATAGGTCCTCCAAATTTCAGTTAAGCCGAGTAACGAGCAGGTTCGAATGCTCAGGGAAACATTGAAGCGCGTTTGCTCGAGTTTACATTTTTACTGTTTTTATACTTAGAATTGATTTTTTTAATGAATTTTATTTTTTTTTACCTTAAAAAAGGTTTGGCATTTTCTAGCATCTTCGCTATTTTTGTGGTTCTTATGGAAGAGACACACATGAAAAAGAAAAAAAGATGGGTTCTACTGTTCGACATCCAACAACGGCACTGTTTCTCGAGTTCAGACTGCAGCCGCTTCAGCAAACTCATCTCAGCATTGGAAAATATCCATAATTTTTTATACCAAAAATTTGTTTCTTGGAGCTTAGATATAGTACATACATAATTGTCTAATAAAAATTTTATTTACCGCAATAATTTCACGCCCTTAAAAAGAATCGCTCAAAAAGCATTTTTTCTTTTTGGGTTCTAAAGGAGACTACAGCCTTAAATCGAATAATTCTAACTATGGTGAATAAAGCCTTCTATTTAATGCAAATATAATGGATGACTTGTTACTTGACCCAATATATATACATATATATATATAAGCTTACACTTTTTAATTTATTTAAAGAAATGCAAGCAAATTGAAGAAACGGAGGCGCTAAATGAATGATGATTAGACCTTTCACTATGAATTCGGCATTTAAGGATATATTGGAATCCATATGAATAATTAATTATTTTAAAGTGACTCACGTACAAACTTATAAGGCCATACTTAATGTATTTTGTTTGTGTCCCATTAAACATTATTGCCAAGCAATCAAACATTTTAGTTTCCATTAATGACAAAAACGTGCTATTTTTTATCAAAAGTATACACTTTTAATACTATTATATTGAGACCTTTTTCATTTATGCATTTTTCTTTTCGTTTGCATTTGAAATTTGCTGGCGATTAAAAACTAATATTTTTACAAACACATATACATAAATGGTTTATGTAAATATGTATAAGCACACTGTGGGATAATAATTATGGGCAAATATAATTTTTTGTTTTATTTAACTATATTAAGTGCTTAAAAATATGTTTTATTTAAATGTACACACTAATTTTACTAAAACTGAAAATTAAAGGAAAATTGAAATATAGTGAAATAAAAAAAATTTTACAATTATTGAGCTGTAAATGGTTGCTAATAATTAATATTATATGTAATTATATTATATTTTCCAAATATTATTATTGTATGCATATAAATTTCGCTTTTACTTTGCCGCAGTTGGGTTTGAAATAAAACTGTTCAATAACTTTTCGAGCTGCTTTTTCAATAGTTTATATAATTTTCAAAAATCAAGCTGAGCTTTTGTGTTCTATACGCATACGAGTACATACAAATATTAAATTTTATAATTTATTTATAATATTAATTTCAAAATCGGGTCTACGGGTTTTAGCTTGTATATATTCTATGTTTGTATGCATAGTACGTGTATGTGTTATACTGGTTTTCCCTTTAATGCTTTCGGCTAATGCACTTTGCTTCACTTCCCCGCTCGCTGCTTCGACTTTACACACTTCACGAAATGGCCTTGAAAAATGTTTAGTTTTTCAATTTTTCAATGTTTGCATATAGTTTTACCAAAAATATTTTTTATATTACTTTATTCCCTTTTTTATTTATACGCTTGTATTTGCTTTATTTATTTTTGTTGCTGTTTTGTAAATCAGCTTCGAAATCAGTACTTTAGCTTAAAGCGCTGCTTAAGTAAAATTGTGCCCAATGCTAAGGGTAATTAGTAAGGTTTTGAGCTACATATGTATGTGTACGTAATATGCGAGTACACACTTTTATATACATATGTATGTATGTATGTATGTGCATATGTGTATGTATTGTATATATGGTTTGTATGGATACATGTTTTATCGGATTTATTTAGCATCATATTAAAATGTATATATATATATATATATATATATATAAACCTGTATATATGTTAAGTTATATATATACATAACATATATATGTATGGGTGAATGTATTCCAAACGTACACGGGTTCCCTAAATTCTTCTTGTTATTTTTCTCGTTTTTTTTTTTTTTTTGTAATTTTTTTACCGTAATGCCCTTTTCCGACTATTTACTTAATACCTAGAATATTAAATAATAATGATAAGTACTTAAGAACTAAGGACATTTACTAAAGTAAGACTAATTCATAAAAATAAAATGACGTTTTATGTGTGCTTTCGCTCATGTGCAAGAAAATCCATAAATATATATGTATAACCGTTAACGCGCATTTTCTTCTGTGTTTACTAATAATAATCTTTACTAAAATGCCGCTTAGCACCTAAGGAAGACACACGCACGCACACACACACATACACACTCGCTCAGGCGTCTTCGCTATCGCTCGGCAATTTACGCTGTACTGTTGAGGTTCTCATCTGCCGAATCATTGCTGCGTTCGAAATCGGTTAACGATTGCTTACGCTCGTAAGCTTCCTCTTCAGAGTCGTCGCTTGAATGCTTGCCTTTTTTAGAGAGACATGGAAAATCGAACATACGCTCTCCTTTGCCGAAAACTTCACCCTCTTCGACGGTTTTTGGAAGTGTTCTGTAATTTTTGAAATTAAAAAAAAAATAATAATTTTTATGAATATCTTGTAAGGTAAATAATACATGTATATCACATTTCATACCTGTTAAGCGTTTCAGGCAGCAGTAAGCATACGAACGAGCCCGTGAAGAAGAGCACACCCAAAATGATAGATGGCGCCGCTTTAAAGAATGTACCCAGCCATAGTATGTAAGGGGCTAGGAATGATGCTGCAAAGCCTGCTACATGCACCGCAGCCACACCTTGGCCACGCACGCAGGTCGGTATCAATTCGGTGGCGTATTGTGAACCAGATTCGTAGGAAATCGCCACGCCGAAACGTGCGGCAATTGTCAGACACGCCAGCAGCACGGCATTGTGATTGTGTTGTTGATAGGCGATAGCTATGCCCGCCATTGAGGTGAATAAGCCGCCGACGAGTAGTGAACCAGCCGCCATACCTTTACGTCCTATACGATCCTGCAGCAGTATTACTATAATGCTGGATGGAAGTACGGCGATGGCGCTTAGCGAGAACATAACGAACGGTGATATGCCCATGCCCTCGACATTACGTGAAACTGCGTCGTAGCAGAGTGTGATTACCATGCTGGGAAGGCATAGGAAATATTTAATTAAAATGTTTATTTAAATTTTTAAATTATTTATAGCAAACAGTGATATTCTCGTAAATTATTTGTAATCTTTTCAATTAAATTTTTTTCCTAATTTGTAATCCATATATTTTCGTACCCCTTTCCTATTCAATATAATTGTTTACATCTACACATATGTAGATCTTCATGCAGTTCTTTTCACTTCATTAGGCTCGCAAACTATCCTTACTTTTGCTTCACACAGCTCAATTGCTGACAGTGCAGGTCCGAGCTAAGAGTTTGGCTGTAGGAGAGCTGCTCATAGTGGATGATTCCTTGCCGATCCAATTAAACATGCAACAAAACCTTACAGACCATCAATCCTGGCTTGTGGACCAAGTCTGTTTCCTTTTGATGTCTTTGCACTAATCACCCTTCACTTCAGAAACGGATCGATTTTTTTTACGATTCAGCAACGATTCGCAGATGGAATTTCCGTCCATGAGGTTTTTTTCACGTTAACTCATGTGGCACCCATACATAGAACTTCTTTCTGTAACCAGCCTTTTCCAAGTGGTTCCAAACTGTGTTTTGTGCAAAGTTTAGCTCCAGGGCGATCGAAGTCGTGCTGGCATGACGGGCAAGCTCGACGATTTCCATGATTTCATCGACATTTTTAACAATTGGTCTTCCACATCGTGGAGCCTCTTTTACATCAAGGTTACCGAAACAAAATAGACGATGATGCACTGTTAGACTACCAGAATCGGAAACACTATACACATTTTCAGTTTCCCGTTATCGTTTTTAATACAAAAAATCATCTCTCTTATGCCATCTAACGTAAGCCAATCGCGCTTAGAGAACGAAATATACAGACCGACTATTGCAAAAATAATGGATTTTATTTTACTAGACCTAATTTCATGCAATTTTTCCAAATTATATTGGTACTACTATATTTCTAGATTTAAAACAAAACAACTGATACAACTAATTTATACCCATTTTCCTTCTTTTCTACAAATACAATATTGAGCTAAGGAAGCGGCAAAACGAGCTGTCCCTACGTATAACACCCTATCTTATTCCGCCATTATTAAATGCTACTCTGCTTTCTTTTCAAAAGGAAACGCTTCTACACTTATGTATGTTGCCTTAATACTTACGATTTGAAGAATAAAATAAGCGTATGTTTGCGCATTCGTGGCGTTCTAAACATATCCAATAGCGTTGCGTGCACCTGCTCATCGCCACCCATTTTCTGTCGTTGTTTTTCACAATGTTTTCGGAATTCCTCAAATTCCGATGGTGTCACTTTACGTTTATTAAAGCGTGCAACACGTTTCAAACGTTTTATAGCACCATCCACATCATTTCTTGTGACCAACCATTGTGCACTCTCCTGCACGATGAAATAATAGAGAACTACGGAGAGTATTGGCAGTGATGTGCAAGCTAAGTAGAGTTGCCAATGGCCAACGAGTACGGCCAACCAGGGTGTAAAGACTAGACCGATTGTATAAAAAACGCCGACGGCCAAATTCAAACCGAGGGTACGCATCGATGGGCGGATATATTCGAGTACTGGAAGAATGAACGATAGTAAAATTAAATTCATTCAAAATTCTAAGCAGAAATGGACAAATTAAGTTTTCTAACTTTCAGTCTCATTTTGCCAGGAAGACTAGGTAAAGACTTTCCGATTTTTAAATTTTTCTATATTGTTTATTCCTACAACTCGTTAAAAGATCTAGGTATAATAAAATATATATGTATGTATATTTGGAGGCCGCAAAGGTGGTTAGCATTGTGCAGTGCCATGGTTTCGGACAACATATAAAATTAAATAAAACTGTTTTTTCTAGTTGCGGTCGCCGATCGGCAGGGAGTAATGTCAAGACCTCCAAATGTATTTCGGACTTGAAATGATGGCTCCTCCATCAGGAGTACGGGGGCAACACAGCATAAACTGTAGGTCCCTCCATTTGACCCTTCAATTTTAAGATGCCTTCGATCGACTAACCGATTTTTATAAAAAATATCACTAAAATTGTTCTACTTAGGGGCGGACTATACCTATTTATGAGAATAGTTTCCTTTAATTTGTTATTTTCTTTTTTCACTTTGTAATTGAAATTCACACTCACCGATAATGTACATTAGATAAAAGTTTGTATCTGCCGCCATGCCGGATATGAAGCGACAGAGCGAGAAAGTGGTTACACTTTGCGAAAATATAGTAGAAAAATCACCAATAAATCCGGAAAAATTCGAAAGTATCAGCGCAGGCAAACGACCAATCTTATCCGAGAGTAGACCGTAAAAAAGGGTTCCCACAACGGAACCAATAAAAAACAACGATTGTCCGATACGCGCCTTGTACGCCGAATCACAGACCCAATTCAGCTGAAAGACGAAAGGAAATACTATGTTAATAAAATACATAAAATCAACAATAAAATTTAAATATGTTAACGTTAAAGCGCACAAACTGTCGTCCATACACTCACCTCTGTATTCATGCTCCGATAACCGTAATCATATTTATAAATCCAACGTGTACAACTCTCCGGACTCACCGTCACATTAGCACCATCGATGTCAAGTAGACGCGTACATGATGGATTCGGAAATTTCGCATAGATCTCCGCAATCTCATCGAATGACTTATTCGCTAATTTCTCATGGTAGCACCAGTGATCGGGCACAAAACTTATCACAGTTTGAGTAAAATAATGCAATGAGACAATGAAGTTGATGATGCCGAACAAAGTTAACAGCATAAATTGATAGCGATTGAAATCACCGCATCTCGAGAGTATCTGATCGAAATCCATGATTGGTTTTGCTAATTTGATAGAGCGATGATGATGATAATGATGGCGGCAAGTCGATTTTCTTTGCCGCGTCAGATATGATTACAGCGGTGTCTTTAATAAAATATATTCTTCGCTTAGTGGGAGTAAACTTAAGATTGTTCAGTTGTGCTCACTTCCCGGTCTATAGAAAATGAGCGGAGCTGGGCAGCAAGTGTTGCGTTGTTTGTTAGTGTTGAAGTGTTTGACGATGTTCGATGTTACCAGTGATGAGACATGCAGTTTATATACAAATATACTCTTTTGCAGTGTTCCAGTGTTACGAAGCGGTGGGCTATATGTTGTTTCGAGATATTAAATAAGTGATTGATTGCGCGTTTGCTATCCGATTTTTTTGTATATTTAAACGACAGCTCTATTTCGTTCTTTTTATAAATTATCGAATTAAATTGTTGTAAAAATTACCATACAATTAATGAGTTCTTAGTTTGTGTTTATCAAAAATCTTATTCATACATCAGCGAGTTTTATTTTTCTTTATTTGTAATATATTTTTTTAACTCCTTTTGCCTTTCTAAATTTTTATTTATAGTCCCATTTTCTTGTTTGCGAGTTTATGTATGTACATATATGTAAATATGTCTATAAGTGTGAGGTGTTCGTAGATATTTTTCAACAATGTAGCTCTATAAAGAGAAAGAAAGGGGGAAATAGAGTAAGAACTGGGGATACATATACAAAAAAAATTTCAATAATAACGACATTTGTTTCTAAGAAAAAGAGTATTTTTGAAATTTGGTTAGCAAAACACCGTATTTAACAGATTTTTGCACAAAACAACTCACAACTCTTAACTCAAACCAAAGGATCGCTCAACCATTGGGTCACTCGAATATATTGGAGATCCCCTGCGGTGTGGAGGTGCGCGTATTTTCCTGCGGTAAGGTACGACTGTCATAAGAGACGACTAAAATCCAAAGGTTCCCCCGGCAGTCTGCTCTTTACAGCCCAACGGCCGCATTTTTATCTGGCCAAGGATTTTTACACTACTTTGGGGAATATTTTGCGAGTACAACCGCAACAACAATATATTAAATAATTACGATTTCGTATCAAACTACTCGTGGGCAGAGGCACGCAGTCCAATGACATTTACTGATAAATACTTCGGTATACAAATTCCCTGCATAGAAGAATGGGTAGATCATTAACCCACTGCAGATAAGAGCCTGACTATCCTGTACTATCGCCGAAGCTACCACCATGATTCCTACATGAATATGCTCCGGTCTTTAGTCGCGGCATCTAGAATTTTCGAGCAGCTTCTGAAGCTGTTTATGCTCATGCCTTTCGTCATCTTTCATTTACTGTCGGCATATGAGATTTGCTTTCCTCTTTCGCTCTCGGCGATGGACAGATGTGTTTTTCCAACAAATGGAGGGACCTACAGATTCACTAAGCCGCCTCTGAAAGGCTGATGGTTTTTCATGAGCAGAGATAAAGATTTCATGTCCGAAATGATCCCGGAGGGATTGACATTCCCCGATTCGAACCATGGCCTGCCGTAGCTGGGTGACTGCCACTTCACTTAAAACGGGGCACGGTAACTCTATTTGAAACTAATAAATCGCTAAACGAAAGCAGAAATTATGTAAAAATATTCCTATTAAACCCTCGTTGTGTTTTTGCCGGCGTCTGGCTGGTTTTTGTGAAGCTTTATTTGCATATATACATATATGTGTATGTATAAATTTAAACAACATTGCTATTAAATAAATTCAGTCAGCACGTGTAAGTCTGGCTTTCGCTTTATTCGTATTAAAATATTTTGAAGCTTGTGAAAAGGCTGTGTAAACGTACCAACTTGGGCAAATAAAATTATATTTAAACTTGAACAACAGGTTTTCTATGTAGTTTGCGTATAATACTGTTGTATGAATACTTGAAAAAAGACAGTTACAATTCACTCGCTTTTTATGGACGAGGCCTAAAAGTTTAGTCTCACGATTATGAGTTCGATAGTTTGGGAGACTGGAAAATCCGATGGCAGCGGTTCTACCAAAGGCTTGATATCTCTCATAGTTGGCAATTAAGACTGAAAAATTCGTTCTATACAATACTATCTGGTGTTAAATAAATATTGGCAACTTCTATCTCACTTTCTACTATGACTTCAATTGGATATTTATTTGACTAACTTTCACATAATGCTAATTAATATACAATCTAAAGTATTTGCAAAACTAAACGCTTTCTGAAAATTACGAGTATATCCGCATTTTAATGTAAATAAACAAATACTCTTATAAATAAAAAAATTAACGCTTGACTATTAGTAAATATTTACAATGTGGTACTCTAAAAAATTTATATCAAAAAGTGATTTTAACACCTTCGTAGTAGATACTCGAGGAGATGTATATTTAATTAGTGAAATAAAAAGATATTAAAGTCAACAATGACACACGACCTAAATCGAAGGTGAACAAGTAGCGCACACTAACGGTTAAACAAAGCGATAATTTTGATTGTGTATTAGGGATGGTAGCATAGTAAGGAACATTTCAATTTTTATAGGAAAATCATTTCCCTTAAGATAAATATCAAGATAGTTAGGAAACTTGAAACATTAAAAAATGGTACTCTTAATAAATTGTATTCCGTTTTTATTACAACTAAAAGCTAACGCTGAACCAATAATGTTCAATCGTGAACCGAAAAATCTGATCGTTAATGGATAATATTATAATAAATCGTTAAGAGATAATTTCAAATATATATCAGAAAATGTTAAGTTGTTAACATATAATTTTAAGTCGTTAACAGATAATATTTAGTCGTTAACAGATAATGTTAAGTTGTTAACAGATAATTTTGAAATATTAACAGTTAACGTTAAATCGTTTACAGAAAATTTAAATCGTTAACAGAAAATGTTAACTCGTTAACGGAAAGTGTTAAATCGTCAACAGTAAATATTAAATCGTTAACAGAAAATATCAAATCGTTAACAGATAATACTAAATCGATAGCAGTTAATGCAAAATCTTTAACAGAAAATGTTAAATCGTTTACAGACAATGTTAAACCGTTAACAGATAATGTTAAATCGTTAACGGAAAATGTCAAATCGTTAACAAATAATGTTAAGCCGTTAACAGATAATTTTCAACTTTAAATGTTAAATCGTTAACAGATAATGTTAAATCGTTACAAAAATGTAATGTTAAGCCGTTAACAGATAATTTTCAACTTTAAATGTTAAATCGTTAACAGATAATGTTAAATCGTTACAAAAATGTTAAATCGTTAACAGACAATGCTAAGTCGTTAACAGATAATTTTAAACCATTTACAGCAAATGTTAAATCGTTTACAGACAATGTCAAGTCGTTAACATGAAATGTTATACTTTAAATTTTAATTGTGCAGCTATTTTGAATTTAAAGTTACCGTTGCGATTTCTTTCTTTTTACATGTTAACAAAACAAAATAACTTCGTTTTGTTACTTGAGCATCTCTAGTTTCAACGACTTAAATCTAGCCAAAACTCGTTAAATTAAACAAAATTATTAATGCAAAAGTAAACATTTCTATTTGTTTAATTGTTTAGTGCACAAAATGTTTACTACAACAATGTAGGAAGTAAAAAGAATAAATTACCGCAACTGTTATGTTGCTGAAATTTCAAATTCTTTTACTAAGTAAGTAAAAGCAATTAAGATAACTTATCTTTAAGTGGAAAGACATTTTATAAAATTGTTGACTTCCCATGAGCATATATGAATGGCGAGCTTATTTATTTAAAATTTAACTGACTAACTGATTTATTACTTGTTGTTGCTCTTTTATGAGTCCAATAAAAATTGTATATTTAACATAATTGTCTTGATATGGTTGCAAAGCAAAAGCACTGATAAATAATTGGGATAGTAAAAGGTAAACCATTATTAGACGCCGTCATATCGTTGAAACGAAATTAATTTGTTAACATTGAAATTGCACAAACTCACCGTTAGCGTTAATATTCAAATGGCTGCTCGGTATAATGTTAACAGCAGAATACAATTCTGTTAACGATTTAACATTATCTTTTAACGATTTAAATTTATCTCTTAACGATTAAACATTATGTTTTAACGATTTAACATTATTTGTTAATGATTATCATTATCTGTTAACGATTTAACTTTATCTGTTAACGACTTAACGTTATCTGTTATATATCTGAAATTATCTCTTAACGTTGTAACATTCTCTGATAACTATTTGAAATTATCTGTTAACGATCTTAAGGATTTAACATTATCTACTAATAGATTAGCATTCTCTGTTAACGATTTAACATTATTTGTTAATGATTAACGATATCTGCTAACCATTAAACTTTTTAAGCGATTTAGCCTTATCTGTCAACTATTTAACGTCAACGATTTAAAATTAACAACAACAAAACTAAATAAAATTTATTTTGATAATTGCTTTGACAATAACATTTCCGAATGTTTTAACCGAATCATAAGAATTTTTTTGATTGAATTGAAATTTATTGATTTCAGAACCGTATCAATCATCGTTTAAATGAAAATATTGTTTAAAAAACAGTATCATCAAAACTCCACTTATACGTCTCAAACCAATAGTATTGTATTAAATGTAAATATGTAAACAAATCATTTGTGTGCTTTTGAAAATTTTCAAAATTTAATACAAGTATGTATGTATGTTCCACCGAATTAAAAGCTTTTTACCGCATAAAAAACACATGTGTATTTGCACTGATGGAAGTGGCATTTAGTCAATGAGGTCAAGTGAATTTTTAATGTGTGTGTGTGTGTGTATAATGTTTTCAAGAGCTGTTAATTTTTATCTTAATTTAATAAATTTTTTTGTACATAAAGCAGAAAAGTAAATAACAAAAAATAGCGCATTAATCGCGACATCTTGCAATTATTTTAAATACAATGTAAAATTATATAGCATTTAAAATTTATATACTATATATGTATATTTTGTAAACACTTCTTGTTTTTTGTTTTCTTTCAATCACAAATAACCAAATTTGGCGCATTATCGATAAAACCACTCTATTTATATCTAACATTTTTAACAACTCATAAATATGTATATATGAATAATTATCACTATACTACTATCACCACATTGTACAAACAAAATATGATTAAATAAACATTTATTCCCGTCTATAGACTTGATAGCAAAGTTAATTAGTCGCCAAGTGACTTTACTGCAGCAATAAATGTCAATAAACTTAGGATTCTCCACTCTTGCCGAATTTGGTATAAACACTTATTGTTCTAATTACTAATTTATTTACCCACTTTTATTGGCTTCCATGTGCTTACATATGTACATATGAATATACATATATGTATGTATAGGTAATCGGTAAATAATTAACAAAAATATCAGTCGATATTTTCAACATTTATTAGACAAATCGAAAAGTGATTGAATGCGAAGATTTATAGAGGCTTATCACAATGTTTATATATATATATATATATATATATATATACTCGTATTGGGTTATGCATTTTGCGGTATCGACTCACATCGCCAAGATGAGAGATTACGCTGCCGGAAAATTTCTCTCGCAATAAAGCCACATGCGATTCGAAAAATTTTCTACGAAAAATTTGCGTCCACTGCTTTTTGGTCAGCT